GCGCCTGGGTGGCTCAGCTGTTAAGCATCTGCCTTCGGCTCAGGTCACGATCCCAGGGTCCTGGGATCGAGCCCCACGTCGGGCTCCTTGCTCAGCGGGGAGCCTGCTTCTCCCTCTGCCTCTGCTGCTCCCCCTGCTTGTGCTCTCTCTCTCTTTCTCTGTCAGGTAAATAAATAAAATCTTAAAAAATAATAATAATAATAAAAAAAAAGAAAGCTAGGTCTTGGGCTGGTGTACTTGCTTGTTGGTCATGGAGGCAAAAGCAGAGAACAGCGGGGCAGGAGGAGACAGGAGGGTGGATTTGGTGGAGTACAAAGCAAGGGCATCAGCTGTGAGTGGACATGACAGAGGAGGTTCAGAGCTTTAAGGAGAAAGCAGAAAGGCCAAAGTAATTATCATGGACCTTGGGGAAGTGAAGGTAATAGAGAAGCAGTAGCCTTCCAGAGCAGTGATTCCTGGTCTCCACATGAAGAGGCTGGTGCTGGATGTTCCATGGAACCCATCAACAGGACTCAGCTCTGCCTCCTCAAAACTGCAACCTTAAACCTTAGGGCAGTCACCTCCCCTCTCCAAGCCAGAGTTTCTTCCGTCATTTGGTGATGATTATGTTTAGCCCGTTCGGAGCTTGCTGAGCTCAGAGGCAAGAAGAGTGGGGATGCAGCACAGTAATGGCTCTGTAGATGGGACTCAGTAAATGGGAGCCACCGTGATTTGGACTGGTTGCACGTAACAGGCTTCCTGCTCACCCTCCAACCATGGTGGAGTAACAGTTGCACAGTGTGTCCCCTCCTGTCATTGCAGAATCTTCCTTATTCATTGCTTTTCAAATGATTGCCTTAAAGATTCTTGAGGACAAACAGTCCTCAGGGTGTCTCTGTGGTTAGTTGTGGGGGAGGGAGGAGAGAGGGAAGGGGGAAACATCTGCAAGTTACTTCTCAGACTGTAGGGCATCGAAGTTCCATAGAAAAGTGAGCCATGTATGTAACTTTAAATGGTCTGGTAGGTACTTCGAAAAAATAAGAAGAAACACGTGAGGAGAGCCTGGGTGGCTCAGTCGGTGAAGCGTCTGGCATCTGCTCGGGTTGAGATCCCGGGGTCCTGGGATCAAGCTGAGTGGCGCTCCCTGCTCAGCAGAGAGTCTGCTTCTCCCTCTGCCTCTGCCCCTCCCCCCACTTGTGCACGGGCTCTCGCTCTCTCGCTCTCAAATAAATAAAAAAAATATTAAAAAAAAACAAAACAGGTGATGTTAAATTTTAGAAAATATTTTACTTAATCTCCCATAGCCAAATAATTGTCATTTCAATATGGAGTCAATATAAAAATTATTGAGATATTTCACATTATTTTTTAACATTCTAAGTCTTTGAAATCTGATGGGTGCTTTTACTCGTACAACCCATCTCAAATAAGACTAACCATGTTTCGAGGGCTCGAAATACGGGGGGTGAGTGGCTATTGCACTAGATAGCTCAGGTGCAGAGGTGGGATGGCAGAGTAGGAGCAGAAGGAGACCTTGGCTGGAATCTGACAGCCTGAGCTGCTGAGTAAAGCTCTCGGCAAGAGCCCAGCATGTATTTTGCACAGCCCATCTTGCTAACTTTCATCCCCAGCACGTATTTGGACGGTAATTACTACCGTGCTCTTCTTCATCCCCAAGAGTACGGAGCCCACACAATGGATGGAGAAGGGCACCCCATCTCTCCGGTCAGGAGAACCACAGAGACCAGAGCCTGACTTCCTCTAGCACAGAATCCACAAGCTATAACACTTGATGACACATTGTTACCACTCACTGATCCATTTTGCCTGTCCTTGAAAACCAACCAAATATTGTGCCTGACCTCTCACAAAGGGGAGCTCTCATGCCCCTTATGAGAGAGGAGGGCAGGATCTGAGATGGGGAAGTTCCGTCTTGTTGCCCTCAGGCAGAGAGTCAGGGGAGGAAGAAAGTCTTAGCTCATGTCTGTCTGACTGTGAGTCATTGGAGCTATCTCTCATCAATCAATCATCAACCAGATGTCCATACACCTTTTTTTTCTTTGCGTCTTAAAAATTGTGATAAAATACACATAATATTTACTATTTTTAAGTACATAAGTTAGTGGCATTAAGCACATTCATATTGCACAACCATCACCACGCCCTAGTTCCCGAACTTCCTCATCACCCCAACAGAAACTCCGTACCCATCAAACAGTAATTCCCCATTCCCCAGCCCCTGGCAACCTGAATCTGCTTTCTGACTGAGTTTGCCAGTTCTGGACATTTATCTACGTGGAATCATATAATATGTGATCTTTTATGTATTGCTTCTTTCTCTTTTCGAGGTACATCCATGTTATAGTAAGTGTCAGTGCTTTGTTCCTTTTTATGGCTGAATAATATTCCACTGTGTGAATGGACCACACTTTGTCTCTCCACCCATCCGCTAATGGATATTTGGCTTGTTTCCTTCCACCTTCTGGCTACTGTGAAGAGAGCTCCTATGACCATCTGTGCACGTTTTTGTTAGAGTTCTTGTTTTCTCTATATACTTTTTGCCCAATCTTTTCTCTCAGAGGGCAAGGACCTTAGCCTCTTTAGCTAAGTGATCTCGCTGGTAGGCTTGCATGTTAGCAATTGTGGGAGTATCTGTGCATGTTAGCAATTGTGGGAGTATCTGTGATAGTGTGATTTATAATAAAAAATATGTATTTGAGGGGCGCCTGGGTGGCTCAGTCGTTAAGCGTCTGCCTTCAGCTCAGGTCATGATCCCAGAGTCCTGGGATGGAGCCCCGCATCAGGCTCCCTGCTCAGCGGGAGGCCTGCTTCTCCCTCTCCCACTCCCCCTGCTTGTGTTCCCTCTCTTGCTGTCTCTCTCTCTATCAAATAAATGGATAAAATCTTTTAAAAAAAAATATGTATTTGATCTTCACCCCTGTTTCTGTCATAAAGCTCCCAAATCTCTTGAAATTTCCCGTAATGGGAGTAATGAAGGTGTTTGTTGTTACGTTAATGAGGTGACTTTTGAAAAGCACCTAAGGATGGGGGCCAGTCACCAGAGGAGTCAACTTTCAGTAACCCCGCCCCCTCCTTCCGCCATCTCCTGGGAGGGGAGAGGGGCTGGAGATTGAGTTCAGTCACTAATGACCAAAGATTTAATCAGTCATGACTATGGAATGAAGCTCCCATTAAAATCCAAAAGGCTGGGTTTTGGAGGGCTTACAGTTTGGGGAACCAGAATGCTTCCACATGCCACCAGGCTTAGCCCCAAACTCCATGGGGACAGAAACTCCTTTGATTGGGACCTCGCCCTATGTTTCACTTCATCTGGCTGTCGATTCATACCCTTTATTATTTTTTTAAGATTTATTTATTTATTTGAGAGCGAGAGAGCAGAGTGGTGAGAACACAAGTCGGGGGAGAGGCAGAGGGAGCCTGATGCGGGGTTCAATCCCAGAACCCTGGGATCATGACCTGAGCTGAAGGCAGATACTTAACCGACTGAGCCACTGAGGCGCCCCAGTTCATATCCTTTAATATTCTTGGTAATAAACTGGTAATCTAATGAGTAAACAGGTTTCCTGAGTTCTGTGAACTACTCTAGCAAATTAACCAAACCCAAGGAGGAGGTTGTGGGAAGCAGGTGACAATTTGGTCTTGCACCTGGCATCAGAAGTGGGAGGGGGGCAATCCCGTGGGACTGAGCCCCCAACCCGTGGGGTCCGACTCAGTGTAGTGTTGGAATTGCGTCAAACTGTAGGACACCCAGCTGGTGTCAAAGAATTGCTTGGTGGTGTGGGGAAAACCCCACATGTTGAAATGAGGTTCAGAGTCATCGACTCCTCATTTTCCTCTTCCTTGACCCGCTCTTTGTCATGGCAGCTGTGCATCCAGCCCGGAGTCTAAATCTCTAGTGGAGGAACTAGATTGCAAATTTAATTTAATTTTAATGCATTTAAATCTAAATAGCTCCATGTGGCTGGAGGCCACAGGGTTGGCCCTGCAGCTCTAGTGTGACTGAGGGTCCCTCTCCCCTTCTCCCCACCACACTCTGAGCTCATCAAGGCTGTTCTGAGTCCCGTTTGCCTCTGCGTTCTGGCCACAGAGCCTGACACGTGCAGGCCCCAGAGAATATGAAGGAGTAAGTACCCTCAGGTCTCCTGATTGCCTTTGTATTCCCAAATTTCACTCCGCTTTTGACAAATATATTTGTGAGACAGCTACTGGTATTTTCTGATAACCTTTCAAACCTCAGGGAGATGCGTATGTTGTCAGCGCAGATCACAAATCAACCCTAAGGTGCAGGGGCCAGCAGAGGTAGGAGCATGGGGGTGAGGGCTTGGGTGTTTAGATTCCCAAGAGTCTCTGGCTCAGCCACAAATGGTGCCAACACATCCCTGAGTGTTTGGAAATCAGGAGAGACCCCAGTTCCTGTTACTCAGGCAGCCCCTGGTCTACTTCTCCTTCTGGTCCCTCAGCTCTGCTCCTTTAGAAATCATGGAAGATTGTGCAAAGCTGTTGAATCTCAGATCTGTACCTCTGAAACAAATAATGCAATATATGTTAAGGAAAAGAAAAAAAAAGAAGAAGGTAGCAGGAGGGGAAGAATGAAGGGGGGGAAATCGGAGGGGTAGACGAACCATGAGAGACGATGGACTCTGGAAAACAAACTGAGGGTTCTAGAGGGGAGGGGGGTGGGAGGATGGGTTAGCCTGGTGATGGGTATTGAGGAGGGCACGTTCTGCATGGAGCACTGGGTGTTATGCACAAACAATGAATCATGGAACACTACATCTAAAACTAATGATGTAATGTATGGGGATTAACATAACAATAAAAATTTAAAAAAAAGAAATCATGGAAGATTGAGAAATTTTGCTTCATCAGAAGATAGATCTGTGAAGGGTAGAGAACAGAGAACCTCAGCTCTAGGGCAACTAGGGAGTGCTGGGGACCCAGACTCCTGGCACCGAGGACTTCATGGCTCTGACCCTCTGCCTTCCCAACTCTGTTAACAGTCCCTCTGTAGAGGATTATCTGCACAAGGAAGAGAGACAGAGAATATTCACACAACAGGACGGTCCTCTACAGGAAGGAGAATGAGCCAATCATAACAACGTGCACAACTGTGGATGAATCTCACAGACATAATGTTGAGCAAAAGAAGCCAGGCACCAGAGGCACCTGGGTGGCTCAGTTGGTTGAACGTCCGACACTTGACTTCAGCTCAGGTGATGGTCTCGGAGTTTCGGGGTCGTGGTATTGAGTGCTGCATCAGGCTCTGTGCATGCAGCAGGGAGTCTGCTTGAGATTCTCTCTCTCCCTCTGCTCCTCCTCCCACTCATGTACTCTCTCTCTCTCTCTCGCCCTCTCTAAAGAAATAAAATCTTTAAAAAGAAGAAGAAGCCGCCACTAGGCATACAAGAGGAGGCACTGTCTGAAATTTTAAAACGGGTCGATTAGACCGAGTCGATTAGAATCAGGACAGTCCGTCTCGTGTGTGGGGGGGGTGGGGGGAGGATGGGCACGGGGTGAGGGCAAGGGGGTGGTGAGATGTTCTCCTTCTTGATCTTGTGACCATTTGTTGGTGGTACATTTATGATAAGTGTAATGTTCTGTATGTATATTATACTTTGGTAAACAGTTCACTAGAGAGAGAAAGAAGGGAGGACAGAAAGAAAAGAGGCGGGAGGTAGAGGGGATGGAGGGGTGCAGGACAGAGAAAAGAGAAAGGGAGGAGGGAGCACTTTCCTGGCACAGGAGAGGTGAAGGGTGGGTTTCAGAGATTTCTGCAGCTGCAGATTTGAGGTGGGTGAGTTGACACAGGGCTCCAGGAAGACAGTGAAAATCATTTCGTACTCTTCCCCACCCCACCTCATCCACACAGAGGGGCGCTGGGAGAAACACCAGCACTACGCACAGAAATATCTGTGTTCCCAGCACAGTTGTCAGTGACCTGAAGCAATCTGGATAGTGCCTGAGGCAGAGACCACCACGGACAAATGCCCACTCTGGGCAGGATTATTTCCACAGGCTTCAGATGGTCTCGGTCCCCCAAGCCTCAGAACAGGCAGGGACCATGATTTCTTGACTCTGACATGGTGGCGACCCCAAATCTGTCCTTCTCTCTGCCCCCTGTTGTCTGTGGGGGCAACACCAGTGATGTGTTGAGATGGCTTGTACCCTCTCGCAAAGAGATAGTTGTTAAAATTTCAGGAATTTTAGGAGCCATTATTAGAAATCAATCATATAAAATTAAGTCACATTTTAAAAAGACAAATTCTTAAAATCCATCACCTCCTAATTTCTTTGCTATATTTGAGGAGCAAATCAAGTTCCAACATACATCTTTGTTTCACGTCTGTCTTTCATTAACGTAAACAAAAATACCACCCGACATTCATGTCGCACCTACACTTCTTCGTCAGTGAACGAGCTACATATTTGCTGGATTAGATGATAATCAAATATTCGTTTGTAGTCTGATAGTGTGATATTACTGTTGGCGACAGAATTATGAAAATTGGTGCAGGGTTTTGCAAGAAACAGCAAGTCTCCTGAAACTACAGTCGTATGGAATTTACAACAAAGAGTATCATGGATTGTACTATTATTTGTAAACTGTGTGCTACCTGGGCTTTAAAGTCAGTAAATCTTTTATTGTAAACGTAAGTCTCTATGTACAGGCATACTGTTTTTCCTGGAGCCCGTTGTTAACATTTAACAGCACACCGCAGTGCAGAAAGCACGGGGACCTCCGATTCCGAATGAGCCGTGTTCAAATCCCAGCTCCGCTGCTACCTGTGTGACCTTCACCGGGTCACTTACCTTTTTGAACCTCAGTTTTCTCTAACACCGGGTCTGGAGTAACTATCTGAAGGAGACCTTTGGTTAGAGCTAATGGATGTGAAGTAGGCGGCCTGGGGTGTGGCGCAGACCCTGGCCACCATCAACATTTTGGCTATTTCCGCCTGCTGGAGACAGGCCTGCAGCACTGACCACAGAGGAGGCTCCCGGCATCTGTCCCTCTGACTTCCTCCATCTGGAGCCCACAGGGCACCCCTTCGTGCCCTGCCATCTGTGCTGCATGCTGTCCACTCCCCAAACTTTTCCAAGCTCCTTGAAATAGTCTCGAGCGGGCGGGTCTTTTCTCCCTCCTCCAGAGCTGAGGAAGCCGGGGCCCAGGGATTGGCTCTGTGGCCAGCACAGCTCCATCCACGCACATCCGTGAGGTCATGGGCTCTCCTCGTCTGCAGCTGGAAGGAGGACACTCGGCCAGGGTAGGACAGGACTTGCCGAAGGCCACCAGCCTTGGAACCCAGGAGCAGCTGACTCCAGACCGTGGGCCCCTCCCAGACCCTACCGGGCTGACCCCCCCAGATCATGACTGAGGTGGCCAGAGTCCCCTGTTGCCACCTGAACCATTCACCGAGACCTTCAGTGCTGCTGGTTCGGGAACAGTTAACAAGTATCTCACATGGCAGTGTGCCAGGCAGATGCTCTCTCCGTGAATCTGAAGGGCTACCCTGTGAGGGACAACTTGAGATACTTCCATTTCACAGATGAGGAAAGAGAGGCTCAGGGGAATGAAATGACTCCTTGCCAAGAACACACAAGTAACCACCTCCTCCTTGGGGCCCCAGACTGTCCCTCCTTCCACATCCTCGCATCTGTCTTCTGACTCAGACAGTTGTGTTCCTCCCATGGAAGCTCATCAAGCACTGGTCTGTCTTGGAACTGGACTCAGGTTCACAGTGGACCGCTTTCGGAAGGAAGTGGTGGAGGCACAGAGCCAAAGCCATGTGAGCAAGAGTAACCTGGGTCTCACAAAATTTTCTGTTGGAGCTCAGAAGAGAGTCCAGCCCCAGGCCTCCGCTTCAGCACCTAGCAGTGCAGATCCCTCCCTCAGACCCAGGGGTCCTGCCCCCAACCCCTCCTCCTTCAGGCCCAGGAGTCCAGGCCCCCTGCCCCTCCTCCCTCAGACCCAGGAGTCCAGGCTTCAGTCCCTCCTCCCTCAGACCCAGGGGTCCAGGCCCCCAGCCCCTCCTCCCTCAGACCCAGGAGTCCAGGCCCCCAGCCCCTCCTCCCTCAGACCCAGGGGTCCAGGCCCCCAGCCCCTCCTCCCTCAGACCCAGGAGTCCAGGCCCCCCAGTCCCTCCTCTTTCAGACCCAGGAATCCAGGCCCCCAGCCCACTCCTCCCTCAGATCCAGGAGTCCAGGCCCCCTAGTCCCTCCCCCCTCAAACCCAGGAATCAAGGCCCCCCAGTCCCTCCTCCCTCAGACCCAGGAGTCCAGACCACCCTCCTCCCGCAGACCCAGGAGTCCAGACCCCAGCCCCTCCTCCCTCAGACCCAGAGGTCCAGCCCCCAGCCGTTCCTCCCTCAGTGACCTTCTTTTCTGACTCTGCTGCATCACTCTGGCTAGGAAACTGTTCTTCTCAGGCCTCAGGCTCCCTCTCTGAAAAAGGAGACACTTCTCTTGCTTTCCTGGGAGAGTTTAGAACTCCCAGAAAAAGGAAGTCTCCTTCTTCTTCCTTTCCCTCTTTTTGGCTCTTTCTGTTTCTGTTTCCTTCAGGGACATGGACAGGAGCAAAGGAGGAAGCTGGGACAGGGTTAAGGAAGGACAGGGCCCCCGGAGGCCCCACAACTTCCTCCTGGAGGCCAAAGGTGGACATGCAGTCACTGCTGCCTCCCTCTCTCCCTCCCTTCCAGAATTTCTGCCGAACCTTGGAGGCCTGGGTGTTTCCCAGAATGCAGGCGTGTGGGAGGAAAGGCCCTGTGGGCTGCCACTGTCCAGGGCTCTGCTCAGCGCTGGGACCCAAGCCCTCTGAGTTCCTGGAAGTCCACAGGCAATCTGCTTCCAGATTTGGATCTTTGCTGACCCTGGGGCACCTTGCCTAGGGTCCCACCTCCCTGGGAGCCCCTAATCCCGTGCCTCTCAGGACTGACCACTCAGGGATGGCTCCCCCACCAACTGGGTAGGGGTGTGGGGAGGGGGTCCCAGCACTGGGCTCTCTCCTGCCCACTTCACCTTCCTCCTTGTCCCTCTCCCCTCCCTCCTCCTCCTCTACCCTCCTTCCTCTTCTCTCCTTTTCCTCCTCTTCTTTGTCTTTCCTCTTAGGAAGACAGAACGGGCGGTGGTAGTTCTGTCTTCCATCGGGATCTCATTCATCCGACACGCGTTTGTTGAACACCTACTGTGTACAAGGCACGGGTCCAGATCCCAACGGAACAGAGTCATGACCAAAACAGGCAAAGACCACTGCCTGTATGGAGCTTGTGTTCTAAGGAGGGAGATGCACTTTATACAAGAAAGGCAATAAACGGGCAACTTACACTTTATGTAGGAAGGTGAAAAATGCTGTGACAAACAGGAAAGAGCAGAGGGAGGTAAAGGGGAACAGGAGTGGTGGGGGGCAGGTTTCCAGATGAGGGTAGCCAGGTAAGCCAGCCTCCCTCTTCCCTTCTCCCTCCCTCACTTCCTTCTTTCATTCCTCCTCTCCTCCATCCTTCCACCCTTCTCTGTTTCTCTCCTTCCCTCATCCCTCCATCCTCTGTGTCTCCCTATCTACACTCTCCCAAAGCACTTCCTTCCCACCCAGACACATTTGCCTGGACTCAGGTATTTAACAAAACACCACAACTTCCTCACCTTACTTCCCCAGGGCCCTTGCTTTCCCTCCTTCCCCAGGAGACAAGTCATCATTGAGAAGGGTACCTGACCGAAATGAGGCAAATGTAGTCAAAAGGAGCTCAGATGAAAGGCTCAGTGAGCTGCCTCTCGGTCTCCTTGCTCCTCAGGGTCCTCAGGGAGCTCTGCTCAACCTCGCTCTGTGCTCCCCCTCTCCTCCAGCCCCACAGCAGCTACTGCCTGCATCCCAGCTCAGACTTGTTCATAAGAGACCCTGATATAACCCCGCCACTCAGCCACCCCTGCCATAAGTCCCCGGTCTCTCCATCCAGTTTGTCCCTCACAGGCACCCAGAGCCACCCATAACTCTCCAGCACCCCCAGGACCAAATCCCAGCCCCTGAATCTGCCAATCCTGCATGTGGTGAACCCAGCTATGCATCCCACCCCCACCCAGTGCTTTGCCCTTTATGCTTCTACACATCAACCCACCTGTACTTTGCTGACCGGCCAGGACATTTCTTGCCTTGAGTGCCCTTCCTACTCCACTTTCTAACCGCTAGTCCCACCCCCACCCTTACCTTGGCTAACTCTACTCCTCCTGGACATCACCTCCTCCAGGAAGCCCACCCTGATTCTTCAGCCGGGTTGGGGCATCCTCGCACTCGTCTTTGATCCTCTGTTTACACAGCTGTCTCCTTCACAAGATTGGCATCTCCACAAGGGCAGGGCCCAGGTCTGAGTCATCTCTGTGTGCCTGGCATCACCCAGCCGAGAGCCTGACCCACTGGTGGTGCAGGAGATGTTCCTACAGGGAACAAATGTTCTTTTCCCCTGCCTTTCCATTTCTGCCTTATTTTCTCCCCACTCTTCACCCCTGTCCTGGTTTTCTGTAAACCAAAGCCCAAGGTTTTCTGATGATGATGGAAATCTTGGGAGGGCCACTGTGTACCCAGGGCAGGGAACAGAGATCAGCCTCCACTGGAGTGGAGGGTTCTGGGAGAGATGGGTGTTAGTGAGGGGAGCAAGAGGTGATCCTGCCACTACCTCTTGCCTCCTGTGGGAGTGCCTGGTTTCATCTGTCCTTGTTTTGGCTGCTGCCAGCCTTGATCATCTCTCCCTGCAAGGAATTTTGGGAGACTGGACATGTGAACCTGAGGGAGGAGGGGGCTGGGAGCTTGGACTTTTGGGAGGGAGGAGGGGGCTGGGGGCCTGGACTCCTGGGTCTGAGGGAGGAGGGGGCTGGGGGCCTGGACTCCTTGGTCTGAGGGAGGAGGAGGCTGGGGGCCTGGATTCCTGGGTCTGAGGGAGGAGGGGCTGGGGGCCTGGACTCCTGGGTCTGAGGGAGGAGGGGGCTGGGGGGCTGAGGGCCTGGATTCCTGGGTCTGAGGGAGGAGGGGGCTGGGGGGCTGGGGGCCTGGATTCCTGAGTCTGAGGGAGGAAGGGGCTGGGGGCAGGACTCCTAGGTTTGAGGGAGGAGGGGCTGGGGGCCTGGACTCCTGAGTCTGAGGGAGGAGGGGGGTGGGGGCCTGGACTCCTGGGTCTGAAGGAAGAGGGAGCTGGGGTCAGGACTCCTGGATCCTGGAAGTGGAAACCATTGGGGTTTAAAGTGCTGGTCCCTCCTTCATCCACACTCTGGTTTTAGAAACATCTGGTTTTATACAGCTGCTCCACCCGGGCAGGGTGCGGTGGGGGCTGGGCAGCCAAATGCCCGGCTTCTGAGTGGAGCCTGGCCTGCCCCCACCCCCACCCTGGGGTAGAGGAATCTCCCTCCCCTCCTGCTCTGGGCTCAGCTCCCACCGGGGGATCCATCATCCTGACACAGCCAGACACCAGGCGGCAGGCTCCTGGCAACAGCAGCGTCAGGATGCGGCCCTGCCCTGGTGAAGTGGGCGGGGTGCCTCTCACTTGGGCCCTGAACTGGCCTTTTCCCCGACAGCCAGACCAGGCAAGGCCCAACCTAGTGATGGCCCCTCACACCCTGCCTTCCCCGGGGAAACCCAGGGAGTGAGGACTTGGTGTCCTGCAGGGGAAAGCTCCAGGACAGTCTGGATGCGATGAAGCAGCAGGAGGGGAAAAGGAGGACTTAGAGACAGAAAACACAGTCAGAGAGAAGCAGGGAATGAGAGAGTCAGAAAAACATATACAGAGATGGAACCTCAGAAGAAGATGCACAGAGATACACAGAGACCGAGGGCGATAGAGACAGAGACAGAGACCAAGAGAGACAGAGAAAAGAGCAACAACCACTGAGAGGAACAGGGAGAAACAGAGAAACAAAAACAGGGAGATGGGAAAAAAAGATACAAATACAGATATTGAGAGAGAAACAGAGAAGATAGACAAACACAAAGGAAACAAAGGCAGAGACACACAGGAGAGTGAGAAAGGAAGAGAGTCATAGAGTAGGAAAGTCAGGGAGACCGAGAGTCGGAAATGAAGAGACAGACAGACACAAACCCAGAGGGAAGCAGACAGAAATGGGCACAGAGAGAAGGAAAAGGGAGAGAGAGAGAGAGAGAGGCATGGAGAGAAACAGGAACACACAGAGACAGACAGGTGGACAGAGACTCAGAGACAGTAGGAGATGGGCATGTACGACCACAGACGGAGAAACAGAGGCAGCTATAGAGGGAGAGAGACGGGCATTATCAGTTCACCCGAAGAGGAACAGAGAGAAAGAATTAGATAGAGGGTTTTGTTTGTTTGTTTGTTTGTTTGTTTTTAATCATGGGAAAAGAAGGGCATGGAAACAATGACATTTATCACTGAGCCTCCTGGTCCTGAGGGGCTGGGGCCTTAGAAGCCCCAGGACCCCGTCTCTGGCCTCTAAGCGAGGCCACCTTCACTCTGACTCAGGTTCCCGGGGCTCCCTGGGGGCAGCTGACGCACAACTCTGTGAGTTCACGGCGGAGCCCCTGGGAGACAAATCCCAGTGCCCAGCCCCCTCCCCGGGCCCTGGCACACGCGCACACGCTCGCACGGGCACACATGCAGACCCACCACCACTCACAGCTCCTTGCGGACAGCGGGCCTCACAGCCAGCGCGCGCGGCCACACCCACAACCACGCGCGTGTGCGCATTTTCTCGTCCCCGGGGCTTCGAGGGGAGCGGCTGGGATGCGGGAGAGGTGGGCAGAGAAATCGGGCAGACAGGAGGAAAGACGGAGGGTGTGGGGGGGCGGGGAGAAAGCGAGGGAGGGGAGCGCAGAAATGGAGAGAAAGAAGAGCGGGGAACGAGAGCGCAGAGCCGAGAAGGAGGCCTGGGAGGGCAGGGAAGGGCGAGACGGCGGCCCTGGGAAGGGAGGCCGTCGGGCGCGGGGGTGCGGGCAATGGCGGGAAGCGGGTGGAGCTGCCCGGCTGGTCCGTGACCTCAGGGCCCCTGGCCCAGCTCCTCCCTGACGTCAGCCCTCCTCCGCCCCCGCCTGCGTCGGTCTTCAAATGACCCCCGGGCTCCCCAGCCACAGCGAGACCCGGGAGCGAGCAGGAGAGGAGCGCCCGCCGACCCGCGGCGATGACACAGGTGCGTGCGGCCGGGCGGGGACTCTGGCACCTGTGCGACCACGTGGGTGGGGGGGTCGGGGGACACCGCGCGCGCTCCTGTGCATGACGGCGACCGTCGCTGTGGGACAGTGACCCGGTCGGAGCGCTTGGGTTCCATCCCCCTGTGTAGGTGGCCATCGCGCCTGTAGTGTATGAGAAGTGACATGTCCTTGCTGATCCCGCTGTAAGCCCGTGTCTGCGTGCGGGGTGCGGGTGGGCGAGGCAGAGCTGTATTTGCTCGACACGTGGGCCGGATTTCTACGTTTATGTGCTCAATAACTATTAAGTTGAACCAAATGAAATCGCAGGTATCTGGTCACTTCTGCCCTTTAAAAAATGGCCACTCCAGGGCGCCTGGGTGGCTCAGTTGGTTAAGCGACTGCCTTCGGCTCAGGTCATGATCCTGGAGTCCCGGGATCGAGTCCCGCGTCGGGCTCCCTGCTCAGCGGGGGGGGGGGGGGGGGGGGGGGGGGTCTGCTTCTCCTTCTGACCCTCTTCCCTCTCGTGTTCTCTGTCTCTCATTCTCTCTCAAATAAATAAACAAAATCTTTAAAAAAAAAAAAGGCCACTTCATAGGGCTCAACCTTAACTGTTACTGTTTTCTGAAGCTCTGTCCCTTTGCTCCCACCCGGACCCACAAGTGGGTGCCTGTATCTCTGTTGCTCTGTGGGCATCCGGTCCTGGTTTAGCTCCTTCCTGCTCAAGGGCGTGCTCCCAAGTTCACCTGTGTGGCTGTTGGTGCGGGTCTCAGGATCCCTAAGTTCTAACAGCAGGTGTCTGGGTTATCTTCTAGAATATGAACGTCCTCCTGTGTGGGCACACTGTGTGTCTCTTGTCATGTGTGAATATATGTGTGGGGCTGTGTGTCCACAGCTGATACAGGTGTGTTTCTGAGTGTTTTAATAATGTAATCATTAATATTGAGTGATTACTAGGCTCAAAGCTCTACTTATAGAAGCTAAAAGCCATGTCCTATAGAAACATCATGTGAGCCACATACATAATTTAAAATTTTTAGTAGCCACATTTAAAAGGTAAACTTACGATCAATAATATTTATGTAACCCAATATATCAGGGGGCATCAGTTTTTTTCTGTATAACGCTAGATAGTCAATATTTGAGTTTTTGTGTGTGTGTCATATGATCTCTATTGCAACTACTCAACTTTGGTGTAGCGTGAAATCAGCCATAGACAGTATGTAAACAGATGTGACTGTATGCCAATCAAAGTTGATTTAAGGATGCTGAAATTTGAATTTCATGTAATTTTCATATGCCACAAAATATTATTCTTTTGACTTTTTTCACCTATTTAAAAATGTAAAAACTAGGGATGCCCAACTGGCTCAGTTGGTAGAGCATGCGATTTTTTTTTTAAGATTTTTATTTATTTATTTGACAGAGAAAGAGAATACAAGCAAGGGGAGCAGCAGAGGGAGAGGGAGAAGCAGACTCCCTGCTGAGCAGGGAGCCCATGTGTGGCTGGATCCCAGGACCCTGGGATCATGACCTGAACCAAAGGCAGGTGCTTAACTGGCTGAACTACCCAGGCACCCCTGAGCACGTGCTTCTTAATCTCGGGGCTGTAAGTTCAAGCCCCACACTGGGTGTAGAGGTTACTTAAAAAATAAAATCTGGGGTGCCTGGGTGGCTCAGTCATTAAGCGTCTGCCTTCGGCTCAGGTCATGATCCCAGGGTCCTGGGATCAAGACCCGCATCGGGCTCCCTGCTCGGCGGGAAGCCTACTTCTCCCTCTCCCGCTCCCCCTGCTCGTGTTTTCTCTCTCGCTGTGTCTCTCTCTCTCAAATAAATAAAATCTTAAAATAAATAAATAAAATCTTTAAAAAACCAAACAAACTAAAATGTTGTCTTCGCTTGCAGGGTTGTAGTGAAAAGGGTAGCAGGCATTTGGCCCGAGGGCTGTAGGGTGCCAATCCCGGCTCTCTCAGAAATATTATCATTTCATGAATAGACGCATCAGACCTATATTTGCTACAACATAACATAAAACTTCAAAACAAGATTTTTAAAACTATCATTTCAGTATGTAACCAATACAAAAATATTAACGAGATATTTTACTCTTTTTTTTTTCAAACTAAGGCTTCAGAATCCAGATGTGTAGCACATCTCACGCAGATGCTGTATTTTCTTTTTTTTTTTTTTTAAAGATTTTATTTATTTATTTGAGACAGAGAATGAGAGAGACAGAGAGCACATGAGAGGGGGGAGGGTCAGAGGGAGAAGCAGGCTCCCTGCCGAGCAGGGAGCCTGATGCGGGACTCGATCCCGGGACTCCAGGATCATGACCTGAGCCGAAGGCAGTCACTTAACCAACTGAGCCACCCAGGCGCCCCAGATGCTGTATTTTCATTGGAGATACTTGATCTGCATTTAGATTTCATAAAATTTACCAATGAAAAAGCAGCTTCCCACACCCTACTTGTTTCAAACATACTTAAAAGCTTTCCAATAATTGAATCAAGTGTCAGTTTCTGACGTTAAATATTTAAATAAAATTAAAAATTCAGTTCCTCTGTCCTACTGGCTGTTTTTCAAGGACCCAGTAGCCACGTGTGGCTGGTGACGCCTGTATTGGACGACACAAATCTGTGTCCTAATGACTCATTTAACTCGTAAAGAAGCCCATGAGATGGGAGCTGGTGACACAGGAGGCAGTTTAGAGGACGATGGAGCCAGACTGCCTGAATGGCCTTGGGCAAGAGAAATCACTGCCCTGTGCCTCAGTTTCCTTATATGTAATAGGAGCAACAGTATCCACCACACTTGGACAGTACTTGGCGTGTAGAAGGGGCTAAATCCTCATTTTACAAGATGAGAAAACGGAGGCACCCCTCTCTCTGATTCTGAGCTCTTCCTGCAACATGTACTGGGCACTTGGCCCTGTCGGGAACCTGAGCAATGAAGGAGAATGTGGTCGTTCCTTTGGGAAGTCAGAGAAAAGACTCCTCCACCTGTGAGCTTCATGACCTTGAGCAAGCCACTCTTCCTGGCTAATCAGTCCTCAGTTTTGCTATGTGTATGGTGGCAGTAAACATTATCTCCTGCCCCCCCATCCCCAGCTCTCCCGACAAGTAAAGCCAGTATTTAAGCTGGTAGTTCAATGACCGGATTCTTAGTTTCAAATCCTGGCTTCTCTGCTATCCAGCTGTGACCTTGGGCAGGTTGCTGCACCTCTCTCTGACTCAGTTGCCTCGGCTGTAAAATGGGGATAATAGTACCTACCTCATAGGACTGTCCTGAGGATTAAAATAAGTTTCTATAAAAGGCTTATAGCAGCACCTGGTACATACCATATTGCATTAAAAAAAAATTATTTCTTTATTTGACAGAGAGAGAGACAGCGAGAGGGAACACAAGCAGGGGGAGTGGGAGAGGGAGAAGCAGGCTTCCCGCTGAGCAGGGAGCCCGATGTGGGGCTCGATCCCAGGACCCCGGGATCATGACCTGAGCCGAAGGCAGACACTCAAGGACTGAGCCACCCAGGCACCCTCATATTGCATTATTTTTAAGATGATGATGATGATCTCAACACTAAGAAACCTTTAATTGTGAGATGAGTGTTTATGTGCCACCAAGAAGCGGGAGGGGAGGAGATCCCCTGTTAATTAAACTGTGACATTCCGTTGAGTGTAATCCTCATGGATTGAAGAGCTGTTTAAAATGTGGGGAAAAATGTATTAGAATCAATATACTATAATCAGGCATGGAGCTTTGCTGTTTGCCACAATTATTTTCATTAGTGGAAATAACTTTGCAGTACCCAGGGGATTTTCTTTCTTTCTTTCTCTTCCTTCCTTCCTTCCTTCCTTCCTTCCTTCCTTCCTTCCTTCCTTCCTTCCTTCCTTCCTTCCTTCCTTCCTTCCTTCCTTCCTTCCTTCCTTCCTTCCTTCCTTCCTTCCTTCCTTCCTTCCTTCCTTCCTTCCTTCCTTCCTTCCTTCCTTCCTTCCTTCCTTCCTTCCCTTTCTCTCTCTCTCTCTCTCTTTCTTTCTTTCCTTTCTTTTTTTTAAGATTTTATTTATTTCTTTGACAGAGAGAGACACAGTGAGAGAGGGAACACAAGCAGGGAGAGTGGGAGAGGGAGAAGCAGGCTTCCTGCTGAGCAGGGAGCCCGATGCGGGGCTCGATCCCAGGACCCTGGGATCATGACCTGAGCCGAAGGCAGACGCTTAACGACGGAGCCACCCAGGCGCCCCCCCACCCCCCTCCCAGGGGATTTTCTTTACAAAAAGGGGATGTTGTATTGGCTTGGGGGAAAGCAAAAACCCTAGGTCTTCCCTTCCCAGAAGAGGATCTCAGGACTCTTCCCCCTGCTATCCCCTCTCTCTGCTCCCAGCAGGACGCGCCCAAGCCCACCCCGGCCGCCCGCCACTGCTCTGGCCTGGCCCGGCGGGTGCTGACTATCACCTTCGCGCTGCTCATCTTGGGCCTCATGACCTGGGCCTACGCCGCCGGGGTGCCGCTCGCCTCCGATCGCCACGGCCTCCTGGCCTTCGGTCTCTACGGGGCTTTCCTCTCCGCACACCTGGTGGCGCAGAGCCTCTTCGCGTCCCTGGAGCACCGGCGGGGGGCGGCGGCGGCGCGGCGGGCGGCGGCGCGGGGGCCCCCGGACGCGGCGGCGGCGCGCAGCGTGGCGCTGACCATCTCGGCGTACCAGGAGGACCCGGCGTACCTGCGCCAGTGCCTGGCGTCCGCCCGCGCCCTGCGGTACCCGCGCGCGCGGCTGCGCGTCCTCATGGTGGTGGACGGCAACCGCGCCGAGGACCTCTACATGGTGGACATGTTCCGCGAGGTGTTCGCCGACGAGGACCCCGCCACGTACGTGTGGGACGGCAACTACCACCAGCCCTGGGAACCCGCGGCGGCGGGCGCTGCAGGCGCGGGCGCCTACCGGGAGGTGGAGGCCGAGGACCCGGGGCGGCTGGCGGTCGAGGCGCTCGTGAGGACGCACAGGTGCGTGTGCGTGGCGCAGCGCTGGGGCGGCAAGCGCGAGGTCATGTACACGGCCTTCAAGGCCCTCGGCGACTCCGTGGACTACGTGCAGGTGAGTGCGAGTGCGCGCGCCCCACCGCGCCCCTGACGCTCGCAGTCCCTCTTCGCTAGGCTTCTTCCTTCAGGGCGGAAAGCGGAGTGGACCTCTTTTTTTTTTTTTTTTTTTAAGATTTTATTTATTTATTTGAGAGAGAATGAGAGACAGAGAGCATGAGAGGGGGGAGGGTCAGAGGGAGAAGCAGACTCCCCGCCGAGCAGGGAGCCCGATGCGGGACTCGATCCCGGGACTCCAGGATCATGACCTGAGCCGAAGGCAGTCGCTCAACCAACTGAGCCACCCAGGCGCCCCAGAATGGACCTCTTTCTAACTCCCTTTTTTATCCAGCATTCAGTGTAGGGATTCTTTCCGTCTCTCCTTCGTTCTTACGTCCCTCTATCCGTCCATCCAATAAGGAGACCACTCATTTTATTCATCGTGTAGCGATTCATTAATTCCTCCACCCCCCCTTTTTTTTTTAGATTTTATTTATTTATTTATTTGAGAGAGAGGATGAGAGGAGAGAGAGAGCACATGAGAGGGAGGAGGGTCAGAGGGAGAAGCAGGCTCCTCGCTGAGCAGGGAGCCCGATGCGGGACTCGATCCCGGGACTCCAGGATCATGACCTGAGCCGAAGGCAGTCGCTTAACCAACTGAGCCACCCAGGCGCCCCAGAATGGACCTCTAACTCCCTTTTTTATCCAGCATTCAGTGTAGGGATTCTTTCCGTCTCTCCTTCGTTCTTACGTCCCTCTATCCGTCCATCCAATAAGGAGACCACTCATTTTATTCATCGTGTAGCGATTCATTAATTCCTCCCCCCCTTTTTTTTTTAGATTTTATTTATTTATTTGAGAGAGAGGATGAGAGGAGAGAGAGAGCACATGAGAGGGGGGAGGGTCAGAGGGAGAAGCAGACTCCCCGCCGAGCAGGGAGCCCGATGCGGGACTCGATCCCGGGACTCCAGGATCATGACCTGAGCCGAAGGCAGTCGCCTAACCAACTGAGCCCCCCAGGCACCCAACTCCTCCCTTTCTTCATTCATTCAACCTCAAGTTGCATACTCTATACTCTTTCTTTCACTCTTACTCATACATTCTTTTTTTTTTTTTTTTAATTGTAGTTGACATCACTCGTCCCTTCTTACATCCATCTCTCCAGTACGGAGGTCATTCATTTATTTTGTTCATTCATTACCTGTTGGATGCAACCTCTTTCCTTCCCTCGTTCACCCATCCATCCATCCATCCATCCATCCAGTCATCCACTCAATCTAAAGATTTATTCATTTATCCATCCAATGTAGAAATCATTCATTGCTTTATTCACCCATTCAACGTAGAGATTTCTTCCTGTCTTCATCCAAAGTAGAAACTCATTCAGTAATGCACTGCATTAGTTTTCTATTGCTGCCTAACAGATGACCACAAATTTGGCAGCTTGAAACAAAACACTTATCTCCTAGTTTCCATGAATCAGGAGTCTGAGCGAAGCTTAGCTGGTTCCTCTGTTCAGGTACCATCAGGCTATAATCATGATGTCAGCTGGAGCTGGGTCCTATCTAAGGCTCAGGGGCCTCTTCCAAGCGAATGTGTTTGTGGGCAGAACTCATGTTCTTGCAGCCATAATACTTCTTCTTCCAGATCAGCAAGAGAAAGTCTCTGACTTCTAGACCTTCTTTTAAAGGGCTCACCTGGGGGCGCCTGTGTGGCTCAGTTCAGGTCATGATCCTGGAGTCCCTGGATCGAGTCCCGCATCGGGCTCTCTGCTCGGCAGGGAGTCTGCTTCTCCCTCTGACCCTCCCCCCTCTCATGTGCTCTCTCTCTCTCATTCTCTCTGTCAAATAAATAAATAAAATCTTAAAAAAAAAAGGGGGGGCTCACCTGATTAGGTCAGACCCACCCAGGAAATCTCAGTAGATTAGAGATTTTTTTTTTTTAAGATTTTATTTATTTATTTGACAGAGGGAGAGACAGCGAGAGAGGGAATACAAGCAGGGGGAGTTGGAGAGGGAGAAGCAGGGTTCCTGTGGAGCAGGGAGCCCAATGCAGGGCTCGATCCCAGGACCCCGGGATCATGACCTGAGCCGAAGGCAGACACCTAACGACTGAGCCACCCAGGTGCCCCAGGGATCTTAATTACATTGCAAAACTCCTTTACTATTTGCATATAAGGCAATATAATCATGGGAGTTATGTGCCATCACTTTTGCCATATCCTGTGGGTTAGAAGCAAGTTACAGGTCTTGCCCACATGCCAGAGGAGGGTATGATACAAGGTTATGGGTCTTAGGGAGGTCATCTTAAAGTGTGATTAGACATTGAAAATGACTACAAAATTGAAAGTTGTGTTCAGATTGGGTGCGGAGTGTCCCAGCAGCTCCCCACCCTTTGGTGCCTTCCCCTCAAGCACCAGCCCTGGGCAGGGATTTGGCCTGATCCTGGCCCTTTCCACCCCACAGGTCTGTGACTCGGACACAAGGCTGGACCCCATGGCACTGCTGGAGCTGGTGCGGGTGCTGGATGAGGACCCCCGGGTAGGAGCTGTTGGGGGGGATGTGCGGATCCTTAACCCCCTGGACTCCTGGGTCAGCTTCCTAAGCAGCCTGCGGTACTGGGTGGCCTTCAACGTGGAGCGGGCTTGTCAGAGCTACTTCCACTGTGTGTCCTGCATCAGTGGTCCCCTAGGTGAGCAGGGGTAGGACTTGGGAAGGGCATGGATAGGGTGGAGGGGGCGAGAGGGAGCCAGAACGGGTTGAGGATATGATTGAGATTGGGGACAAAGATGGGGCTGCAACAGGGGTTGGGGATAGGGACACAACTGGAAGTTGGAGGCGGGATGGCGTTTGGTGGGGTTGGAGAAAGGGTGTGGATGGGGATAGGGAATGGGGAAAGGTTTAGGGAAGGGAATGGGATGGAATTGGAGTCAAGGAAAGGGTTGGGGCCAAGTTTGGGGTTGGTGAAGGGTTTTTGGATGGGGATGGGTAGGGGATAGGACTGAGAATGGATATGGGGTCGAGGATGGAGTTGGGGTGGCTTTGCTGTCAAAGTGGATGTGGGTGTGGGTCAGGGACAGGATTGGGGCACATTTGGGATGGGTATAGGGTTGAAGAAGGATTGGTGTTGAGAATGGGATTGGGGCTAGAGTTGTTGCTGGAGATAGGGCTGAGGACAGGATTGAGATGGTTGAGGATGGGGCCAGAATTGGAGGTGAACTGGGTTGGGAGATAGGATTGGGGACAGTACTGGGCACAGTAGAGGCTGATGGTCCTGTACTCCCCACCCCCACCTAGGCCTGTACAGGAACAACCTCCTGCAGCAGTTCCTTGAGGCGTGGTACAACCAGAAGTTCCTGGGTACCCACTGCACCTTTGGGGATGACCGGCACCTCACCAACCGCATGCTCAGCATGGGCTATGCGACCAAGTAAGCAGAGGGGATCTGGTAGTTGGGTGTGTGTGGAGGCCAGTGACTCTGTGTGTGTGTTGGGAATTCTCCAAACCCAAGTTATCGTGCAGGACAGTGGGCTCTACCAAATGAGACGTTAGGGGAGAGTGGAAGATACTAGAAGGAGTAGGGGTGGCATTTGCATTGATTATGTGACCCAATGGACTCTACTAAATGAGGCAAGGTGAGGGTGGGGAATTCCGCCTAGAATAAACCACATGAGATGGGGCAGGATGGCTCTCCCCCGGCAGCGCAGATTACTTCAGGTGAGGTGGGGAGGGAAAGAGAGTGGGATCTAGTGAGAGAGTGAGCAAGAAGAATCAAGTGCTTCAGGAAGAGTTGTAATTCAGTGAGACTCGGGGAGTATGGGTTCAACCAGGTCGAGTTCAGGGGAAAGAGATTTCTACAAAGCTAGACCCTGTGAAAGGGCCAGAGAGAACTTGGGGTACACCAAGGGAATTCATGCATTCATTCACAAGGCAAACATTCATTATAATGTGTTTTTGTTTAAGTTTATTTATTTAAGTACTCTCTATGCCCAGTGTGGGGCTTGAACTCATGACCCCAAGATCAAGAACAGCACGCTCTTCTGGCAGAGCCAGCCAGGCACCCCTCATTACAATGTTTCAAGCTCTGAGGATGCAGCAGTTACCAAGAGACACAGATTCATGCTCATACCTACTGGGGAGACAGTAACTAAGGAGAACATGTAGTAGGCTGGATAATGGACGTGCCAGGAAAGGGGGTTAGAGAGTCTGGGAGCAGGGAATGAAATGTTAACTAGGATGCCCTAGGAAGGGCAGGGATGGAGGCTGGAAACGGTGCAGCTGGAGCCCTAGCAAGGGGGAGAGCGTCAGGGGAGGAGGACAGAGTGGTGACGGGGAGCACTCAAGAAAGGCTTAGAGGCCACCCAAGAACTTTGAACGAAGATGAGGGAGCCATGGGAGGTTCTGGGCAGAGTTGTGATAGGATCCTTCTGGCAGCTGTTTTGAGTACAGACTGCAGGAGACAAGGGCAGGGCAGGGAGGCTACTGGGGATGCCAGACCACACAGGGGAAGGAGCGGGAGGGTGTCAAGTAATACCCGTGGGGTAGAATAGTTTGACGCCTCCTAACAAACTTGACTGTTAGTGGCCCACTTGATGACGTTCCAGAAACGGGATCCTAGCCTTGTGTGGGCTTAGCTGCGAACTGGGTGGGGTTGACTGGGATGTCCGCTGTGGCCACAGGAAGGGGGCCTAATGGTCCCTTGAGCTTGAACACATGGGCTGCCCCGGGTAGGAACATCGCCTGGCTTATCCCTCACCACCGGGCCTGCCAGTAAGAGTGACCACTAAAGTATTCGTAATAGATTAGTGATAGCACTAGTAATAGGTCAGTAACTGTAATGATATTAGTAACGGCAGTCGTGGTATTAGTCATTGTGCAAACAGTAGTAGTTTCTTTCTTTTTTTTTTCTTTTTTAAAGATTTTACTTATTTTTTAGAGAGCGAGTGAGAGAGAAACAGCCTGAGAGGGGAGAGGGTCAGAGGGAGAAGCAGGCTCCCCGCCGAGCAGGGAGCCCGATGTGGGGCTCGATCCCAGGACTCTGGGATCATGACCTGAGCCGAAGGCAGACGCTTAACGACTGAGCCAGCCAGGCGCCCCTTATTTATTTATTTTTAAGATTTTTTAAAAATTTATTCATTTGACAGAGACAGACTCAGCAAGAGAGGGAACACAAGCAGGGGGAGTGGGAGAGGGAGAAGCAGGCTCCCCGCCGAGCCGGGAGCCCGATGCGGGGCTCGATCCCAGGACCCTGGGATCATGACCCGAGCCGAAGGCGGACGCTTAACCATCTGAGTCACCCAGGCGCCCACAGTAGTAGTTTCTTTTCTTTTCTTTTTTTTTTTTTAAGATTTTATTTATTTATTTGAGAGAGAGAATGAGAGACAGCATGAGAGGGGGGAGGGTCAGAGGGAGAAGCAGGCTCCCCGCCGAGCAGGGAGCCCGATGCGGGACTCGATCCCGGGACTCCAGGATCATGACCTGAGCCGAAGGCAGTCGCTCGACCATCTGAGCCACCCAGGCGCCCACAGTAGTAGTTCCTAATACTTACTGAGCAAGTCCAACATCCTGAGCTCAGCAGGCGGCACGAGTCCTGATTCGGTGCTCACCGCAGCCCTATTAGGTAGGAATCCTGGTCGAGGCCGTTTTGCTCACGGCAACGCGAGGCCCAGGGAGGTCAGGCAGGCTTGCGGCCCCGTGGCCGCCCGGCGCGGTGGCCTTCTCCCGCCCCGATCGCTGTCCCGGCCGCAGGGAGGGCCGTGCTGAAGCCCCGCCTCGTCCCTCCGGCGCAGGTACACGTCCCGCTCGCGCTGCTACTCCGAGACCCCGTCGTCCTTCCTGCGCTGGCTGAGCCAGCAGACGCGCTGGTCCAAGTCCTACTTCCGCGAGTGGCTGTACAACGCGCTCTGGTGGCACCGCCACCACGCGTGGATGACCTACGAGGCCGTGGTCGCGGGGCTCTTCCCCTTCTTCGTGGCGGCCACCGTGCTGCGGCTCTTCTACGCGGGCCGCCCGTGGGCGCTGCTGTGGGTGCTGCTGTGCGTGCAGGGCGTGGCGCTGGCCAAGGCGGCCTTCGCGGCCTGGCTGCGCGGCTGCGCGCGCATGCTGCTGCTCTCGCTCTACGCGCCGCTCTACATGGGCGGCCTGCTGCCCGCCAAGTTCCTGGCGCTCGCCACCATGAACCGGAGCGGCTGGGGCACCTCGGGCCGGCGCGCGCTGGCCGCCAGCTACGTGCCGCTGCTGCCGCTGGCCGTCTGGGCTCTGCTGCTGCTGGGAGGCCTGGTCCGCGGCGTGGTGCGCGAGGCCCGGGCCGACTGGAGCGGCCCTGCCCGCGCCGCCGAGGCCCGCCACCTGGCCGCGGGCGCTGGCGCCTACGTGGGGTACTGGGCGGTCATGCTGGCGCTCTACTGGGGGGGCGTGCGGAGGCTCTGCCGGCGGCGGTCGGGTGGCTACCGGGTCCAGGTGTGAGTGCAGGTGTGCGGGCTGCTGGCCCGAGGGACTTCGGGGAGGCGGGAGGAGACCCGCGGGGGGGGGGGGGCGGGGAACAGAGCCACGCACTTGCCGGGTGATTCTCTGGGCCTCAGTTTCCCTCCTCTGTGAAGCGACGGGTGGACCCAAGATTCTTCAACCTGGGCCGTTTGGGGGCTGGGACTTCAGGGTCCCTGGGGAGGGGTATTTATTGATCAGGGCGTGCATTTTTAGGGGGGGGGACAAGGGTCCCCACATGCTGTCCAGGGGCCTGCTTTCTCCCTGTTCTTATTTAATATCCGTTTGTACTGTGTGATTAGGATATAATAAAGAATTTTATTTATTTTCTTCTGAGTCTCCCCCCCCACTTTTTTTTTTTTTTTTTTGAGAACTGAAGGGCTACAGGGTCGAAGGGTGGGGACTCGTGGCTCTGTCTTGGGTACCAGCTGTTCGAACGTAGACAGGCTCCTTCCTCGGGAAATGGATAATAATCCCCTGGGTCAGTTGTGAGGGTGAAATTTCTCAACTTCTCATCACCGATACTTACGCAGTGCCTACTATGTGGGGACACTCTTAGGTACCGTGGAGGGCCCTTCCCTGGTCCATCCACTTGGCTACTGTCTAAGAAAGGTAAGTCATACCTTGTCTCCTCAAACGCCTAGCACCTCACCCTTAGCTTGCTTTCCATCTCACTGGGAAAACAAAGGTGAGGAAGAAAACTTTCAGTCCCACCTGCACGTCTTTCCACTGGTTTGCATCTGTGCCCACACAGGCCACCTTCCCCCATTCGTGAGGGTGAACTGCCTTTTCCAATGCCAACCCCTTCCACTGGGGCACTGGACCTCATACCCTCTGGTCTACTCAAAGATCTCACTCCTTCTGTTCTTCCCACGTCATCAATTCTTGCCTCCCCACGGGTCTTTCCCCTCAGCATCCAAATGTGCTGTCATTCTCCGATTTTTAAAATACATTTTTAAAAGATTTTTATTTACTTATTTGATAGAGTGAGCGAGTGAGAGAGCACAAGCATTGGGAGCGGCAGAGGGAGAGGGAGAAGCAGGCTCTCCGCTGAGCAGGGAGCCCGATGCGGGGCTTGATCCCAGGACCCCGGGATCATGACCTGAGCCGAAGGCAGACACTCAACCAACTGAGCCACCCAGTGCCCCTCACTCTCTGATTTTTAAGACTCCCTGTCTTGACCTATTTCCTCCTGAACTACTGTCTCATTTTTTTTAAGTAATCTCTACCCCCAGTGGGGCTCAAACTCATGACCCTGAGATCAAGATCTTCTGCATGATCTACCGACTGAGCCAGCCAGGCACCCCATCCTGTCTCATTTCTAACAGCAAAACTCCTTGAGAGCTGTTTATATTTGTCTCCAATTTCTCTCCCACAAAGTTCAGCCATGTCAAGTGTGTAATTCAGTGGTTTTTAGTAAGTTTATAGACTTGTGCAACCATTACCGTAATCTGATTTTAGAACATTTCCCTCACCCCCAAAGAGGAACCCTATGACCACCAGCAGTCCCTTTCATTCCTCACCCCAAAACCACCTCGATGCCCTAGGCAACCATAATCTACTCTCTGTCTCTACAGATTTGCATGTATCACTGGCTCATTCCTTTTTATTGCCAAATAATATTCCATTGTAGGGAAGTATCGCATTTGGTTTATGCATTTATCAGTTGATGGACATTTGCGATGTTTCCATTTTTTGGCCACTGTGAATAATGTTACGAACATTCACATACAAGTTTTTGTGTGAACACAGGTTAAATTCTCTGGGAATGGAGTTGCTGAGTCATATGGTGATCCTGTTTAATTTTATTGAGGAAGTGCCAGATGGTTTTCACAATGCCAGTACCATTTTATATTCCTACCAGCAAAGTAGGAGGGTTCCGAATTCCTTACATCCTCACCAACATTTGTTATCACCTGACTTAAAAAAAAAAAAAGATTTTATTTATTTGAGAGAGAGAGCATGAGTGGGGCGAGGGGTTGAGGGAGAGGAAGAAGCAGACTCCCCACTAAGCAGGGAGCCCGATGCGGGGCTCGATCGAAGGACCCTGGGACCATGACCTGAGTCGAAGGCAGACGCTTAACCGACGGAGCCACCCAGGTGCCCCTCACCTGACTTTTTGATTATAGCCTCCCAGGGGGTGTGAAATGGTATCTCACTGTGGTTTTGATTTGCATTTCCCTTTTGCATGACGAGTGTGGCTTAAACCCATGCCAATCAGATGGCTCCCCCCCACCGCTCTATGGAAATGGCTCTGGTCAGGTTCATCAGTGATGTCCAGCTTGCTAAAACCAACGGCCAGTTCTCAGGCCTTATCTTTCACCATGTGGCAGCATGTGACCCAGCTGATCACTATCTCCTTGAAATGTTTTCTTCGCCTGGCTTTCAGAATGCCGCAGCTGCCTTGCTTTCCCCGTTTTTCCTTCTCAGTTCCTCTTCATGGTTCGGACTGCTTACCTTTGGAGAAACCTCCTCCTACCCACTTCTCTTATCCGTCTACACTCATTTCCTCTGTGTATCCAGCGGCGTGGCTCTGCGTGCCTCATTCACGCTCCATGCCTGGAGAGGGGGCTCTGCAACTTGTATCTTCAGATCAGACCTCACCTCTAAATTCCTGGACTTTTTTTTTTTTCATTCACTCATTCTTTGATGATGTCAATCAGTCCCCAAACCATTTACTAAGTATGTACTGAATTCCACATTTTGCCGGGTTTGCAAATACCGAAATGAATGAGAGGCAGCCCCTGCCTTCCAGTAGCTCCTAGTTAAGTAAACAAAGAGTGTGATCCGGAGTTATACCCAGGGTCCCCAGACACCTGCCTCTGTGACTTCTGTTTTCATAGATGAGGGACAATTTAAATTATTAAAGCTATAAAAGATTATAAATTTAGCTCTCCTCGGGGGTGCCTGGGTGGCTCAGTCGGTTAAGCCATCTTCCTTCGGCTCGGGTCATGATCCCAGGGTCCTGGGATTGAGTCGTACGTTGGGCTCCCTGCTCAGCAGGGAACCTGCTTCTCCCTCTGCCTCTGCTCCGTCCCGCTCTCTCCCTCACTCTCTCTCAAATAAAATCTTAAAAAAAAATAAATTTAGCTCCTCAGTGTCACTGGCCACATTTGACCTGCTTCATGGCCACAGGTGGCTGGAGGCCACCACATGGACAGAGCACATCTAGAATGTTCCCGTCATGGCAGAGGGTTCTACTGACATTGCGGCTGCCATGACCATTGACACCTGCCCCTTCTTTTTTCTTCCCCTCACACCCAACATTCTGATCCATCAGCAAACCCCACTGGTTCTACCTTCAGGACGGATCTAGAGCCACTGCTCCTCACTGTCACCACTTTGTCCCCGAGCTGCATCTCCTTCCTGGATTAAAGCTGTCCAGATTACCACAGCACCTAACAGCAGTTCCTAGTTCCACCCCTGCCCCCTACAGTTTATCTATGCAGTAGCCATGCAACTCAAATCATATCATGACCTTCCTCGCCTCAAAAACTGCCCATAACTCTCATCTCAGGAAAATCCAGACCTTACAGTGGCCAAGGTCCTCCATGATCTGGTCCCCTCACATCCTCTCTGACCTCACTGCCTACTCTTTCATTAAAGTTCTGCTCCATATGCCTCCCGGCCACGTCCCCAACACTAGGCACACTCAGGGGCTTTTGTCCCTGCTGTTTTTGCTTTGATCCATGTCTTATTGTGCTTAATTTTCTTGTTTATTATCTAACCATCCATTACAATCTAAACTCCATGGGGCGCCTGGGTAGCTCAATCGGTTAAGCATCTGACTCTTGATTTCAGCTCAGGTCATGATGTCAGGATTGTAAGATCGAGCCCCACCTTGGGCTCCACATTGGGTGTGGAGCCTGCTTAAGATTCTTTCTCTCCTCCCTCTGCCCCCCCGCCCCACCAAAAGAATCTAAACTCCATGAGGGTGCAGATTTTTGTCTGTTCTGATTTCTTCACTGCTGTCTCTACAGTACCTTGAAAATGCCTGGCACATAGAAGTACTCAGTAAATATTCTCTGAATGAGTGAGTCAGTAAAGGGGACTATATCAGTGAACAAGAATGAGTAGATGCCCAGAAGGAACTTATCCTTTAGGTGGGAAGACACAAACCCAAATAAAAAACAGAAGTTGACATTAAGTCCCAATGAGTACTGTGCACAAGCCAAAATAGGGGGAGGGAAGTAGTCAGAGAAGATGACATTTGAGCGGGGAGCTGTGAGAGGGAGGTAGCTCCGTGAGGTTCACAGTAAAGTCATGTCAAGTATGAAGGGACAGCATGTGCAAAAGCCCGAACATGGGACTGAGCTTTGCGTGTTCCAGGGACAAAAAAAAAAAAAAAAAAAATGGCTAGTGGGGCTAGAGGGTAAAGAGGGGAACAAGAAAAGGGAGGTGGAGTCCGGCAAAAATAGCACCAGATACACAGACTCATCGTGGGGATTAAATAGGTTAATATATGTAAAGGCTTTTCAGGGGAAACTGTAACTGAGTTAACTAGACACAAAAGGGAGAAAACCTTATTCTAGGCAGGAAACAGCACGTAACCAGGTCCTGGAGAGGATGACAAGAATCATGACAAATGTAAGGAATAAGCAAAGGCCAGACAAAGTGCAGGGTAAAAAGATCAAGGGAGAAGAGTGGTAGGGGACAAGGCCTGCCAGGTCAGCAAGGGCCAGAACCTGGAGCATCTTAGAGGCCTTGACAAGGAATTGGATTTGTTCCAATGGCAATAGGGAGCCACCAAAGGCTTTTGAGCAGAGGAGTGACATGATCTGACATACTTTAAAATATTACTCTGGCTGCCATGTGGAGGATGGACCGGAGTGAGGCAAGGCTGATTCGGGGCAGGGAGGCGAGTGGGGATGCTGCTGCAGTGATCCAGGCAAGAGACGATGGTGACTGGGACCACAGACAGAGGGCAGCTACACAAGATGTTTAGGAGTTAAAAAGGCTGAGTCATGGAAGTAGAAGTGGGGGAGGAATTAAACGCGGGTTTCGGGATGAGCAGCTGGGTGGATGGTGGTGCCTTCAGCAGGAAAGCCTTGAGGAGGAACAGGCGTTCAGAGAGACATCAAGGGCAGCGCTTTCTGCCCACAGGTCCTGTCCCCATGCTTTAATAAAATCACCTTCTTGCACAAAACAAACAAACAAAAGCAACAACAAAAAACCCAAAGAGACATCAAGGAATCCGTCTGAGGGTATCGTCTGCAAGTTGAAATGTCAAAGAGACAGTCAGCAATCTAGGGAGGGGTCTAGGCTTGTACGGAAAGTCCTCAGCACAGGACCTTGCATGTACCTTGACAGCTCTACATATTACTGTCATTAAAGGAATAGTCACCTGGGCATATTTGGGGTATGCTGCCCCTCCTCCTACCTGCGTTAGCGGTGACCACCTTCAAAGATGAAAGAATCTACAGAGCTGAAATATATTCTTTATTTTAGGAATGAAAACCGGGTAAGGAAGTAAGAAAAAGATACCTTTGTTAGTTGCCCTTGAAGTACCATCGAAAGAACATCCTGGGGAAACAAGGAGGCATTTGTGTTGGTGGGAAAGTTTTGGGATTAGATATCTGGGTCCTGGAAGCCTGGGTCCCAAAGGTAGACAAGGCCTGCACTCTTGGATCTGAGAGAAGAGGGCCTATGGGCTTGGACTCCTGAAACTGGAGGAGGAAGGGACTGGGGGCCTGGACTCCTGGGTCAGGGTGGAGGGAGGTGGGGGCCTGGACTCCTGAGTCTGAGGGAGGAGGTGGCTGGGGGCCTGGATTCCTGGGTCTGAGGGTGGAGGGAGGTGGGGGCCTGGATTCCTGGGTCTGAGGGTGGAGGGAGGTGGAGGTCTGGACTCCTGAGTCTGAGGGAGGAGGTGGCTGGGGGCCTGGACTCCTGGGTCTGAGGGTGGAGTGAGGTGGGGGCCTGGATTCCTGGGTCTGAGGGTGGAGGGAGGTGGAGGTCTGGACTCCTGAGTCTGAGGGAGGAGGTGGCTGGGGGCCTGGACTCCTGGGTCTGAGGGTGGAGTGAGGTGGAGGCCTGAACTCCTGGGTCTGAGGGTGGAGGGAGGTAGGGGCCTGGACTCCTGGGTCTGAGGGTGGAGGGAGGTGGGGCCTGGACTCCTGGGTCTGATGGAGGAGGTGGCTGGGGACCTGGACTCCTGGGTCTGAGGGTGGAGGGAGGTGGGGCCTGGACTCCTGGGTCTGATAGAGGAGGTGGCTGGGGGCCTGGACTCCTGGGTCTGAGGGTGGAGGGAGGTGGGGCCCTGGACCCTGGGTCTGAGGGAGGAGATGGCTGGGGCCCTGGACTCCTGGGTCCGAGGGAGGAGGAGCTGAGGGCCTGGACTCCTGGGTCTGAAGGAGGAGATGGCTGGGGCCCTGGACTCCTGGGTCCGAGGGAGGAGGAGCTGAGGGCCTGGACTCCTGGGTCTGAGGGTGGAGGGAGGTGGGGCCCTGGACCCTGGGTCTGAGGGAGGAGGGGGCTGGGGGCCTGGACTCCTGGGTCTGAGGGAGGAGGGGGCTGGGGGCCTGGATTCCTAGGTCTGAAAAAGGAGGGGCTGGGGGTCTGGACTCCTGGGTCTGAGGGTGCTGGACACCAGGGCTGAGGAAGGAGAGCGGATGCTGGGACTCCGGGGTCCTGGGCACTCACCACACCACAAGGGTCGCACTGACTGATGCTAAGGCCGCGACGGCCGCGAGCAAGCATTGGTTGCTCAGCGTCAGAGCCTCGGGCCTGGCCAGCAGCTCGCCCAGGCTTGGCCTCCAAGGTTCGATCATCTCCGCCTCCAGCGGCGCCCAACGCAGCACTTCCCGAAAGGAGACCTGGAGCTCGGTCTCCCCACGTGGGGGCGCACCAGTCACTGCGGGGCCACGTACGTCAGCAGGCGCAAGCCCCGCCCCGCCCCGCCCCGCGCAGCCCCGCCCCCGCGCAGCCCCGCCCGCACCGTTAAGAAAGAAGTAGAGCCGCGCCAGCGGGAGCTGGTCGTGCAGGATCACGCAAGAGAACGTCCCGCGGTGCGCGGGCTGCACCGGCCGGATCCGCGCCAGGTTTCCTCGGGCCCGCGGGAGGTCTTCGAAGTAGGACACGTCCTGCGTCCGGACCTGCGGGACGCTCGGGCTGAAGCGGCGGGAGGAGAGGAGCCTCGCCCGAGCCCAGGTCAGATTCCCTCTGCTGGGTCTCGCCAAAGCGCGACGTCCAAGCCCCGCCCCCGAGCTAGGCCACACCTTCTTGAGCCCTGGCCCCACCCCTAGCCCCTTAGGCACTGACCCTTCACGCACGACCCCGCCCCTCTAAGCCACCTCCCGAGCCCTGCCTCCACTTCTAAATCCAGGGACCCTCCCCGTGCACGAAGCCTGAATCTAGACCGAGCTCCCCCGAGCCCCACCCGCTGCGTCCTGACCACCCGTCCTCTAGAGAAGCATAACCCTCCTCCTAAGCCCTTCGCGCTGGCCCCGCTCCGACTCACACCTCCTCCTGCGAACTTCCAGGAATAGGTGACTTCCTCCTTAGGCAGTTGGAAGTTCACAGTGCAAGAGAACTTAGCCTGATGACCCCGAGTCACCGTCAGGTCCTGAACTGAAAACAGGTCCGCGTCACCGCCCGAGCCCCCCCCCCGTCTGGCCCGGTCCCTTCCCTGCTCAGCTCTCGTTCCTCCGGTCCGTCCGGTTCCTTTCCCCTTCCAGGCCCCGCCCCTCACCTGGGCAGTCCAGCGGGAGGTCGCAGACCGTGGAGTAGCACCCGCGGCAATGGAAACGCCGGGCGACTTCCTGGAGTCCTGTGGGACGGAAACGCTGCACCTGGGCTCCGTCTGCGTTCCCCAGTCCGGGTCCCTTTGGCCAATAAGGTCTGTGCAGCCTCCCGGGCTCTAACGGCCCGACGGGTCCTGGGCGCCGCCTTCCCTGCGCTCACTGGCTGGCTCGCAACACTCTCCGGCCTCTGGGACTCCTATTGGCTTGTTTTTGCTTTCGGGCCCGCCTTGTATGAGGTTTGTGAGCAGTACCTGCTTTTACTTTTCTCCAGGGCTCTTACTGGTCTCCCGTTCTAGTCCCAGGTTTCGCTCCCGACCACCTCCCTTCCCCCTCAGTTCTGAGCTTGGGGTGTAGTGCTTACCGCAGGGAGGGATGCAGGCCCGGACTGTGGAGAGAGAGGAAGGGTTACTATCCTGGAAGTGCCCACCTGAAGCTCCCCTAGAGGATAGGTTACTGGGCCAGATGCTTTCCTCCGAGGGGGCGGAGCCAGGCCTGCTGCAGCCCACCTAGGGGGCGGGGCTAAGCTTGCAGCAGTCCCCCCGTAGGCGGGGCCAGGCCTGCAGTATTCCACTAAGGTCAGGCACAGGCCTGCCGACTAAGGAGGCGGGATCAACCCTGGGGTATCCCACCTAGGGGGCGGGGCTAAGCCTGCAGCAGTCCCCCTGTAGGCGGGGCCAGGCCTGCAGTATTCCACTAAGGTCAGGCACAGGCCTGCCGACTAAGGAGGCGGGATGAACCCTGGGGTATCCCACTGAGGGGGCGGGGCTAGGCCCCGGGCGATAGTTCCAGGGGACTGGGTCAAACGAGGGGGCCCAATTAGAGAAGAGGTGTGGCAGGCTAGAATTCGCCCACCGAGGGGGCCCAGTTGGAAAGGAAACATCACAGAGTGCACAGGGCCAGAGAGATCCAGAGAGAGGACCGGGCTAATCTGGGACAGAATCATCCCAAAATGGGGTCCTAGCTGGAAAGGAAACCTTCCATTGAAGCAGGGACCAGATTCTAGAGTGTTCCTCACAGGGGAAGAGGCTCAGAGGGGCTGGGCTAACGGGAGACGATGACTGGCTCAGGATTTTAGAACTGTGTGTGTGTGTGTGTGTGTGTGTACCGACGCCTGCGCGCTGACTTCTTTTACCTTCTTTAAGCTGCATAATGACCTTCCGCATTTTCTCCGCAGCATCAGGAAAAGCCACCTTAAAGGAGCCTGGAGGGTGGAGGGGGGCCTTGTGGTAAAGACCCTTTCTCAAGCCCGGTCAACTTGCTATCACGGTGTTTGTGCCTTCCTCAGGCCCTCCCCATCCCCACATGTCTAGTATATAAAGCACCCCCGTCTCACCTCCTCCCGCCCTGTCTACCTGGAAGGCTGACAGATCCCCAAGTCTCCTTCCATCTGCATCTGGACTATCTTTCTGATGGAACCCCTCCTCTGCATCCTCTGTGTTGATCTTGTTGAGAGGAAAGGGGAGGATAAAGATCAAATTCCTCACCAAGGGCCCTACAAGGTCTGGCCTAGTTTCCTCTGCCTCTCTATTCCATCCCTGTTGCCCACCTTTCATGTATGAAAACGACCATATTCTCTAGCACCTCAGGGCCTTTGCATGTGCTGGTGTGTTTCCAGCACATCTTTCCTCCTACTCCTACTCATCCTTCATCTCCTACCTCATGTCCTCTCCTTCGAGGTGTTCCCTGACCACAAATCTAACCTAATCCAGTTCCCTATTTTTGCCTCTTGAAGTGTTCCATTCATTCCATTCAGAGTTCTCACCAGTTTACAATTATATATATTTATATATACAGTGATCATTTAAGTCTGTCTCTTCAGTTAGTAAACATGTCATTCTTCAGTGCTGTATCCCCAGAACCCAGGAGGGGGCCCTGAGTCTTAGCAAGTGCTCAGAAGTATGTGTAGAATGAATTCCAGGATCCAGCTGGAATGAAGACCACAACTGGTGGCCTCTGGCCCCAGTCCATCCCTTGAATGTGTTATATTTGGACTGGAAAGTATTTTTAAAATATGAACCAGTTGCTATCGTGTAAAATTTGGGAAAGTCACATAGAATGTTTGGCATCTCTTTTACAAAATTTGGAAGAGCTATAACACAAGAGACTGTATTTTCATGAGGCAGCAATTAGCTAGAGCTTCGTGGCAGCCACCCCCCTGGGCATGCACCTGCCACTTCTGCATGGTGCCCAGACTATTCATTTCTACCCCTTTGACTCTTTTTTATCTCTGATTCTTATGCTTTTGGAGTTTTGACCATTGTAATGGCCTCCAAACTGTAAGGTTTTGTGGTTTTTCCCAAAGTGGATGGCTGGCTGGATTGATTTACCGGTGGAGGTGGTTTTGGAAATTAGAAATGTAGCAGATGTGGGGCACCTGGGTGGCTAACTAAGTTGGTTAAGTGTCTGACTCTTGATTTCTGCTCAGGTCATGATCTCAGGGTTGTGAGATCAAGCCCCGCGTTGGGCTCCGTGCTCAACACAGATTCTGCTTGGGATTCTCTCTCTCTCTCCCTCTCCCTTGCGCCCCCCCCCCCAAATAAATAAATAAATAAGAAATGTGGCAGGTGTTACGGACTGAATCGTGTCCCTCCCAAAGTCATAATGTTGGAAGCCCTAAACCCCAGTACCTCAGAATGTGACTGTACTTGGAGATACAGCCTTAAAGAGGTAATTAAGTTACAATTAGGACATTAGGATGGGCCCTGATCCAGTATGACTGATTGCCTTATAAGAGAAGGAAATCTAGGGGCGCCTGGGTGGCTCAGTTGGTTAAGCGACTGCCTTCAGCTCAGGTCATGATCCTGGAGTCCCGGGATCGTGTCCCGCATCGGGCTCCCTGCTCGGCAGGGAGTCTGCTTCTCCCTCTGACCCTCCTCCCTCTCATGCTCTCTGTCTCTCATTCTCTCTGTCTCAAATAAATAAATAAAATCTTAAAAAAAAAAAAAGAGAGAAGGAAATCTGGACACCAACACACTGAGGGAAGACCATGTGAAGACACAGGGGGAGAGAAGATGGTCATCTACAGGCCAAAGAGTGATGCCTCAGAAGGAACCAATCCTGCTCACTCTGACACCTTGATCTTGGACTTCTAGCCTCCAGAATTGTGAACAAATACATTTCTATTGTTTAAGCAACCCAGTATATGGCACTTTGTTATGGCAGCCCTAGCAAACTGGTAGACAGGGATTGCTAGTTGCTTCCAGATATCTCTGTAGTAACATCACACTGCATTTCAGCTGGGAAAGCACCCCCGGCCCCACCAACCACCCAGCTAAAAGACTGTATTCCTCAATATCCCTTGCAGCTAGGTGTGGTCATGTGACCCACTTGTGGTCATATAATGATTTGTAAGTGGAAATGTCATGTGCGAGTCATAGGAAGGAGCCTTAAGAGAGAAATGGCACCATCTTATTGACCCTTCCCCTTCCTCCATCTGCTGCCTTAGACTTGGATTTGATGGCTGGAGCTCTAGCAGGCATGCAGAACCATGAGGATAAGGGCTACATCCTAGGATAGTAAAGCAGGAAGCTGGAAAAGGTTTGGGTCCCCCAGAAAATGAAATGGTGCTGCCATATGAAACTTAAGCACCTACCTCAAGACTTCTAGCTGGCTTAAGCCATTGCACGTGAAATGTGTAATTTCAAACCATACAGAAAGGGAAGGAACTGAGAATACTGGTGAGAGGGTGGCTGATGAGATGATCCTTGAGTATAAACTGGAGAGAGGGGGCACTGAAGCCAGGAAGTGGGTTCAAAATGAGGGGTCAAGGACTTAGAGGTCTCTCCTTGGCCACAGGGCGGGCGTGTGGTCTGGAAATGGCAGGATGGTCAGGAGGATGTGGTCAGAGTGGGGTGCTCAGATGAGAGGCTAAGATGTTGGAGGAGTCATCCAAGGAATATCTCTGTGCCAAACCAAGTGACTCACAGGGAGGATGAGTGTGGGATATGCCAAGTGAGCCATGGCAGGGGTGTGTGTGTGTGTGTGTGTTATATCTAAGTATGTCATGGGAATAAAGTAGGGATGGAGTGAAATGTCCAAAGAGGCCAAGGGGTGGAGGTTATCTCAAGTGAACCAGAAGGGGGCATGGTAGATGTTGTAAAGTCTCCCCCAGAGAGGTGGGTATCATTAGGAACTTCAACTTTCAGACCATCCGGGTTTGAGTCCTGGCTTGTCCATCTGTGAGCGCACCTGCCTCCTATCTGAGAAACCCATTTCAAATCCTCTTCCCTACATGACCTTGGCCAAATATGTAATTTTCCTGATCCTCAGTTGGTAAAATGGGGACAGTATCAGTGTCTATTAGGGTTGGGGGGGATTTAATGCCATACAATATAAAAGCATCCCCGTGCCAAACTATGTACCATTGGATGGCTACATTTGAGAATGTCCGTAAGCCCTTAGGATGGTGTCTGGGACACAGTGAGTATGTTACCATCTCCAAGTTTGAGATGGGGAAATGGAGGCACGGAGAAGTTAGGAAGGTGGCCAAAGGTCACATAGCTAGATTTGACCCCTGGTGATCGAGCTGCATTACCTGTGACACGCTGCCCTTCACACCACACCACCCACTCCCTGGTGTATGGACACAAACAGTATCACCTGCCACCACCAAGAGCCTCTCTGAGTCAGCACGTCCATCTCTTGGGTCCTCCATCTGGGAGACCTGGGAGTTGCCCTTCCCCTCCCCCACGCTTCCCCTACACAAGGCCAGTCTTGATATCTCCTGGGTCCATCCTTTCTGTCCAGCTGGGCCCCAACTTCCCCCATCTGGAAAATGGGCTTACCAAACCCCACGTGACAGGGCTGGTAGGAAGATACCCTTTAGGACGATAGTTAGCATCAGTAAGTGCAGACACGGCCTCTCCCATGTATGAAGCAGGTTTGGCACAGAGTCAGATCCGTCATCTTCCTCCCCCTCCCCCCTCACACTTGCCCCTCTCAGCTCAGCCCTCATCTTGGGGTTGCGACTGGTCCGAACCACCGCTAACCTCCTCACCGGTCTCCCTGCTTCTGCCCTTGGCCCTCGTGGCCGTGGTCTGATCCTGTCTCTTTCTCTCTCCCTAAAAGCCTCTGATGGCTACCCCCTCAAGAGCGAAAGTGGAAGTCAGTTCAAGGGTACACAAGGTCGGGTCCCCAAGCGTGTTCCTGGAGCAGCTGCGGCAGTGGGCAACTTGTTAGAAAGGCCCACTTCCTGGCCCTACCTCAGACCTAAGGGGCAGAAATGGAGGGTGGCACCCAGGAGTCTGCATTTTCACAAGCTCCCAGGAGATTCTGGCACACACTGGGGCTTGAGAACCACTGGCCTATGAGGTCCTACAGGATGTGGTTCTGTGCAGCCTCTGATTTCATCTCCTGCATCCTCTCCCTCCCCCCTTGACTCCACTCCAGCCCTTCACACTGGCTCTTCCATCTGCCTGGAACGCTCTTTCCCCTGATTATCTGTATGGCTCTGTCACCTGGTTCAGGTCTTTCTTCAATTGGACCTTCTCACGTGCAACTCCCCTGACCAACCTATTTAAAATAACCACCCCACTGGGTACCCTGTTCCCTTTCCCTCCTGTTTTCCTCCTACATCCTGGATTACCAACTGACACACTGTAGTATTTCATGGATTATGTTTATTGTCTGCCTCCCCCACCCCCACCCCCCGCAGTATAAGCAACCTGAGGGCTAGTGGTCTGCAGATCTGGTCAGAGCTATGTCCCCAGTGTTGTTTCTGGCACATTCGATGAATACCTGTTGGTCATATTGCACCAGCTTCTCCCGGCCTCCAGTCTGTCCCCTTCACAACCCCAGAGGGTCTTTCCATGCCCAGAACTGAGCCTGCCCTTCCCCTGCTCACAGCCCTGCTCCTTCAGGACAGTCTCAAGTCTCCTTGACCTTTCAGTTAAACCCTGGACCTGTGGTCTAGCTGCTTCCTGGATGTCCCCCGAGTCCCTCACCGTCGCTATGTCCTAGCCCAGCTCACCATCTGCTCCCACCCTGCTCTTTCTCCCAGGCTTCCCGTCTCAGGGAAGACCCAGTGCCCACCCTCGCATGGAGCTGGACCCTGGGTGCTATCCATTCCCCCCCCAACCCCAGTCCCCAAACAGACCTTCAGACCCAAGCCCCGTCCCTCCTGCCCTTGACTCTCTTCTTCATCCGTGCTGCTTTTCCACCTTCACAGCCCCGCCCCAGCTCAGGCCTCCCTCACCCCAGCCTCCACCCAGGCCGCCCAGCCTCCACTGCCTCCCCACTCCATTGCGTCCCACACAAGGCTCTAGGGAGGTCTTCTACACACAGAACTGGACTTGTTCCTGTTCTCCTCAAAACCTTCTATGACAAGATGGCCTAAGTGGGGAGAAAGGGTGTTTTCTGGAATCCTGAGCACCTCCCCTCACCCCAGCTTTGAGTTGCTCAGGCCTCTCTTTGGGGTTGGGGGATCTGTAGCTGAAGTCTTCTTCATGCTGACCCCCCAGACACCCCCTGGGTGGCCAGGAACCTCCCCATCTTTCAGGATCATCGTCAGAAAGCTTGGTGGGCAAGAGCAGAAAACAAAGGGTGTAACAGCAGATGTAGAAATAAGCCCTGAGCCCTGGACCAGCAACTGGCCAGTTTATGCTGCAAGCAGTGCTCCGCCTTCCTCCTCCCTCTCCCTCCGAGGTCCATCTGGTCAGGAGGCTCCTCCCTCTCAGGGAGGCAAGGACATTGTCCCACCTTACAGGTGGGTAAGTTGAGACCCAGAGGGAGGCAGTAACACATCCAAAACCTCATAGCCAGGGGGAGCCACACAGCCAGCTCAGAACTCATGTCCTCCTGATCCCAACTAGGTTTCAGACTCTAGGTCATTTCTGCACTCTTCTTTGAGCTCCCCACCAGCATCTGACCGTCCCTTCCCCCCAACAAGTAATCAAGCTCACTCAGCTTCCTAGCACTGCCTCCTCCAGATCTGCCACATTCTGGGGGCCCCCCTGCACACACATCCATCTCTTGGGGGCTTACACCCCATGTCCACCAAACCGTCCCCACCCCACTCACCCTGGGCAGTGGCCGTCTCCTGGAGAGAGTGGGTCATCTGGGTGAAGGCGTCATGCAGGTGGCTTCTCTCATCGTAGTCTGGGAGTAAGGGTGGAGGACAGAGGCTGGGAAAAGCAGTTCCCTCAACACCATGTCCACTCCGTGGACATTCTCTGTCTCTCTAAGACACCTCCTGTCTCCAAGTCTCTGTCCCTGCCCCACTGCTATCCCCCATCTCTGAGTCTGTCCCTCCCCCCCAGTGTCTATCCTGCCTTCTCTGAGTCTGTCCCCCATCTCTATCCACCTCCCGGAGTCTGTCCCCCATCTCTGTCCTCCTCCCTGAGTCTGTCCCCCCACATTTCTATCCTCGCCCCCTCTGAATCTATCTCCCCATCTCTATCCTCTCCTTAGTCTGTCCCCCGGTCTCTATCCTCCCCCTCTGAGTCTGTCCCACACTCTATCCTCCTCTCACTGAGTCTGTCCCTCAGTCTCCATCCTCCCCTCTAAGTCTGCCCCACCCCTCCCTCTCTGGGTGAATCTCTCAATGGTTCGCCAGGCTCTCTGGAACCTCCCTGTGCAGACACCCTCCCCCCTACCCCAGGACCCTGGAAGAAGTGGCAGTTCTCCTCACTGATTTCAGTGTCTAGGAGGCCCTTAAAGGCGGCGGTGAATGCCTCCTCACACTTTTCCAGCTCAGGGCCCTCTATACCAGCAAAGATCTGGCAGATGCGGACACGCTCCTTATAGGATGTGAAGCAGAGGAGACAGGCCCAGGCGGGGGCCCTGAAGACCATGAGGGCTACCAGGGCAGATGGGACAGCACTGCCTGGGGCCAGCAGGGCCATAACAGAGGGTCTTGGCCCAGGGAGAAGCTGGTGACCTTTGTGAGGTCACCATGGGGTGGGGGAGGGGCATGTGGTATGGGGGCAGAGGTTGGATTTCTGTGGCTGGTCAAATGTCAAGCTCTGGGTTTTCGGGGAGAACGGGTGTGAGGAGTCAGGGGTCAGGCGGGCAATCCCCAAGCTTGTGGTTAGGCCGGACGCCAGGCTCCCAAGAACCTCACCTGTGACCCTGGATGTCCTCACAGGTTAAAGGGTCTCAGGGACCCAGAGGCCGGCAGTGTTGTGTGCGGTGGCCTGACAGGCCAGAGTGGAGATGGCACAGAGATACTGTGAGAGCCCGAGAGACAGAAACTGACACACGGAGAGATACCGGAAAGCACAATAAGAGAGACATGGAGAGAGAGTCTGAGAGGCCGCTGGGTAGACACCCAGCCGACTCCAGAGACACAGTGGAGATGGAGAGACAGAGAAAGCAAAATAGAGGTTTCTTCATGGGACAGAAACTCTTTGAGGGAAGTGGGAGGAGGGAATGCAAGGACAGGACAGGAGAGACAGCCCAGCTCCTCCTCCCAGGGTCCCCCCGCATGGGGCAGCGGTCAGGGGCTGGGGTCCCCGCCGGGCGTCCCGTGCAGGGCGCAGCCTGGGGAAAGCTAGGAGGCCGTATAGTGATCTCCGTGGGTGTCCTCCTCAACTATACAACCTCCTACCTCAGCCCGGGGGGCGCGGCAGGTGGACAGACAGACGGATGGACGGACAGATGGGGGCCAGGAGGGCCAGGGAGGGTGGGGAGGGCCGGGAAGACCCCAGCCGCGATGGTGAGCCCCCGACACGGACCCACAGACTCGAGCTTGTGTGCGGCGAAGGCCCCGCAAGGTCGGTTCTACGGGTGGGTGCCAGGACCCAGGAATCCGGGCCCCCGGCCCCCTCCTCCCCAAGGAACCCAGGAATCAGTCTCAGGGACCCAGGAGTTCAGGCCCCTAGCCCCTTCCTCCTCAGAGGTCCCTGGAGTCCAGGCCAGTAGGCCCCTCCTCTCTCAGACACAGAAGTCCAGGCCCCCAGCCCCCTCTTCCCTCAGACCCGGGAGGCCAGCCAGGCCTGCCTCCCTGGGGAAGGCGCAGCCGGGCTTCCTGGCTTCCTGGATGCGGAGTCAGAGGGAACCTCACCTGTTTCGGAGTTTGGCCCCTTGGGCAAGCAGCTCCCTACCTACCTGTCAGATTCTGGAATCCAGGACTAGGGCGGAGGCAGGGATATGAAACCTTCAAACCTCTCTGGGTATTTTCCCCCCTCTCTCATTTCTTCTTTGGGCCTCCCATCATTTATAATGATGACAGCTATGAACCCTGAGCACTGACGCTGCCCCAGGCCTAGCAAGGTGCTGTCAGCTTCCCCACTGGGCAGGGGAGAAGGCTGCCCAGAGATCGGGAGAGGCTGGGCCAGAGCCGGGCAAGCGGGAGGAGCCGGGCCTGGTAGGCGGTGGCCCAGCACCCAGCCTCCCCACCCCGGGGCTAAGAGTGCGCACCTGCGAGTGGCAGGTCGGCCTCTCTGTCCAGTTCGGTCTGTCTTGCTCTCCCCGTCCCACGCTCCATCTCCATCTTTCTGGCTCTTTCCTCCTGCTGTTTCTGCGGCGCCTGGCCTCCGCGTCAGCCCCCGGCTTACCTGGTCTCCAGCTCCTCCTGCGTCTGTTTCTCGGGCTCTGCATTGCTCATTCTCCGCTCCTGTCCTTCTCGCCCCTCCGTGGTCCCGGCGCTCTCCCTCGCAGATGGCCTCGCCCTCTCTCTCCTTTCTCATTCTTTTTCTTTCCCTTCGGTCTTTCTTCCTCCTCCTCCCTCCCTCTCTCTTTGTCTCTCATTCTCTCAGTCTCTTCCTACCTCAAGGTCTCTGTCTCTGGCCCTCTCCCTTCCCCTCTCCGTTTCTCTCCCTCTCCCATCTCTGTCTCCCTCTGTCTCTTTCCTCCCTTCCCTCCCCCCCACCCTTCTTTCTCCCTCCCTTCCTTCTCCTTCGCCCCCTCTCTGCCTCTCTCTCTCTCTCTCTGTCTTTCTCCTTCCCTCTCTCCCTCCCCCTCGCAGCTCGGAGCCAGGTCTGGAGCTGGGGGTGGGGTGGGGGTGGTTCGAGAAGGGGCCCAGGGCTGGGGTAGCGACCTGCTGAGGAGGGGGAGGAGAGGCGGGAAGGGGGCGGAGGAGGAAAGGAGATGGGGGGCCAGAGTCGGGTCCGGTTCTCATCCCCCTTCCCTCCTTCCCAACCTCCCAGACCCTCAGGCGGGGGCGAGAGTCAGGCCAAGGTGGGGAGGAAGGGGAAGGGAGGAGGCTGCCCCCGCCCCCCCACAACCTGGCCCAGAGCCCAGGCCGGGTTCCCAGCATGCCCCGGGGCTGCCTGGGGCCTGAGGAGGGGGTGAGAGGGGAGCTGAGAATCTTAAAGATTTGCAGGACCCGAGCATCCCCCCACTCCCTCGACAAATTTCTCCTTGGGGAAACTGAGACCCAGAGAGAAGGGTCAGGACTTGTTCAAGGTCACTGGACGCGGCGTTGATGGAGACATGAACTCTCTGGGCCCACAGGCCCGATTTGGGGAAGGGGTTGGCGCTGGACTTCCCTCAGGTCTGGGTCCCCCTCCCCCTCTCTGCAGACCCTGGGGAGCCCCCAAGGGTCAGAGAGCAGACCCAAACAGTCTGGCACCATGGCAACCAGCTGGTCCCGCCCCCTTAACCCCCGGAGGGCTGAGATCCAGCTGGGGCTTAAAGAGGAGGTGGGGACGCCTGGGTTCGGGGGAGGAAGGGGAGAGGGGCCCGGACTCGGACGTTTTGTGAAGGGTGGGGGCTGGGGTGTGGACTCCCAGGTCTGCGGGAAGAAGAGGCCGGAGGCCCAGACTCTCTCGGGTCCTGGGGTAAAGGAGGCTAAGGGTTCGGATTCTGGAATTCTGAGGGAGGGGGCTGGGTTGCGGACTCCCAGGTCTGAGGGAGGAGGGGGCTGGGGCCTGGAATCCCAGTTCCCCAAGGGAGCCTGGATGCTGGGCCTCTCCTCCGCCAGACATCCCCTGCCCCCGCCGCTGACCCTGGCCTGTCTGGCAGCCCAGACAACCTCCCCCCCTCCTCCGCCCCCACCTCGAACGGCTCACCCTTGACCCCTCAAAGCCCCGCAGCCCCTTCCCCGCCCCTCCCCCTCCCCTCTAGCCAGACGTTAACCCTTCTGCTGCCGGAGGCACCTCCGAAGCCAACCTCTCTCCCTGCACCTCCCCTAAGGGCTCGGGCGGGCATCTTGCCCCAGCGTTCTTCAGCCTCCGCATCTAGCTATCCCGGCCCCATCTCTGTCTTCCTCTGGAATCCAGGAGGTGTTCTCCGCCCTCTCCTCCTCTGGACCCCCGGAATCCGGGCCCTCAGGCCCCCAGCCCCCTCCTCCGAGGATTCGGGAGTCTGGGTCCCCAGCCCCCTCCTCCTCCACGGACCCAGAAACCCAGGCCGCGGCGGCCTCCTCCTGGAACCCTGGGTCGGGGCCCCAGCCGTCTCCCCCCCGCCCCCCGCCGCCCCCCAAGCCGGCTTTCCGCAGACTCACGGCTCCGGGGCTCCCGCGTCGGAGGGCAGGGGCTCCCCGGCCAGCCCCCAGGCCGCGCCGAGCCCGGCCAGCCGCCGCCCGCTCTCCATCCTCTCCCCGCCTCCGCCGCCCGACGGCCTCTCCCCTTCCTCCCGGCGGCCTCGCCATCCTCCCTCCCTCCGCCCGACTCCCTCCGGCCCGCGTCTCCGCCCGGGACCCCGCGGGCCGGCCCCCTCCGCGGGCGCCCCCGCCCCGGCCCCTCCCCGCCGCCGGCCCGGCCCGGCCTGCCTCCCCCGGCCCCGGAGCTGGCCCCGGTCCAGGGGAAAAAATTCCATCCGGCCCCGGGGAGGAGGCGCGGGCGGGGGAGGGAGCGCGCGGGGAGGCCGGCCGGGAGCGTGACGCAGGGCGGAGGGAAGGGACAAAAGGGGCCGGGGCGGCGGGGCGCCGCGCTCCCCTTCTCCCGCCCTCCCCGCCCGCGGCCGGCCCGGCTCTCCCCTCCCCGCTTTCTCCCGCGCCCTCCACCTCGGCTCCCTCGCCTTCTCCCGCGGCCGCCGCCGCCTGCGCGCTGCATTCTCCTCTTGGCCTCTCGGTCTCTGTGTCTCTCCTCTCCCTCCTCCCGCCGCACCCCCCCCCGCCGCAGCGGGGTCTGCTCCCCTCCTCGCTCTCCCCCTTCCTGCCCTCCCAGCCTCCCCCTCCTCCCTCCGCTTCGGGCCCCCCGCCCGCTCCCCGCACTAGGGCCCCGAAGGTGAATCAGACCCGCATCTGCCCTTGCAGACGGAGCTCACAGTCCGATGGAGGAGACAGCCCCAGACGCAGACAGTTCCAATCCAGGGCGACCGGGCTATGACAGAGCCAGAGGCCAGCGGCTGTGGGAGCCCGGGGGCGGAAGGAGTCCTTTCAGCCGGAGACAGCCGAAGGGGCCTCCGAGAACCGGGAGAAGTTAGGTCTGGATGGCCGAGACGGGGCTGGCCGCGGCGAGGGCGTTGCAGGCAGAGGCTCGAAGGCCCGGAACCGGGGGCGATTCCGGGAGGACCGCAGAGCCGTCAAGTCGGCCTCGAGCCTTAGAGGACAGGAGCCCAGGAGCCCCGACGATGCGGCTGAGGGGGGGGCGGGGCCAGGCTGGGAACTTTCTCCTGGGGGGGACCGGGAGCCATGGGGGGTTGTGGCCAGATCTGGGCGTCCGAGAGTCCCCTCTGGGGCCCTGTGGGGGATGGGTGCGGGCGGGGGCGGGAGGGATGCCCGAGCTGGGGCTGGGACCCTGCCGACAGAAAGGACGGGGCGGGGCAGAGAATGTGAGGAGGCAGGAAGGACTGCGCACGGACAGACTGGGGGGCCGACGGGGAGGGAAGAGGTGAAGAAGATGCACCAACCGGGAGTCTGGCCCAGGAGCTGAGGGGACAGAAGTTGTTCCCAACTGGGAATCAGTAGGAAGAGGGGACAGGAGAGGATAGGTGATATGCGCAACTTGGAACTTCATGGACCTTTGGGCCAGGGGACATTTAGGGAAGACGTTCAGACAGTGGTGGGTATACGGTTCTGGGGCTCTAACAGTGACAAATGCATTTCCCTTCCACCCTGTCCCCCAGCCACCCGGTACTCGCTGGAGACAGCTTGTGCTTACCAATTTCCTGTGCATCTTTTCAAACGAGTTCTGTACCGCTCTGCACATACATCATGCCACCCCCTTCTTTCTTTGGCCCCAGCTGGGATCACATTATCCCACACTTTGCTTTTTTAGCACTCTATCTTGAAGATCCTTCTCTACCCACACTTATCGAGCTAACTCTTTCGTTTTAGGGGCTGTATAGTATTCCGTTGCATAAATTTATTTATCCATACTTATCCAATCAGTCAATTGGGAGATTTTTTTTCTTGCATACAAAAACTAATACTGATGCATATGTAAATTACTTTTTTTTTTTTACTGACTTCTTCCAATGCTCTTAAGCCTCTGAACTCAGATATTTGATAAATACTCATTTCAAGGTCTTCTAGATTTTGTTATTAATTATTATTTTTTAAATGTTTTATTTATTTATTCATGAGAGTCAGAGAGAGAGAGAGGGAGAAGCAGGCTCCCCGCCTAGCAGGGAGCCCGATGCGGGACTCGATCCCAAGACCCCAGGATCATGACCTGAGCCGAAGGCAGACGCTTAACCATCTGAGCCACCCAGGCGCCCCTAAATTTTGTTATTAATTATTAATGATAGGAACAATAATGATGACAACACATAATCTTTATTGAATGTCTAGTTCGGGACCCGCAGTGGGCTGGGTATTTGTTACACACTGGATCCTTCAATCATCGCAGCGGTCTTACTATTGGAATTGTTTTATCTCCGTGTAAGGAGAAGGGAACTGAGATCCTGCATAGTGAGTTAGCCAGACTCACAAAGTTAGGATTTGAACCCAGGCCTCTCTGACTCCAAGTTCCATGCCTTTTCTTTGGAGGTGAGCTGCCTCTGCAAAAATATGTACCTTACTTGAGATTAGTTACTTGGCTCATGTTAGGCTTACCATGCACACAAACTCATATAGGATAAAAAAGACCTTTTGTCAGACTCTGCACCTTGATTTAGTATCCAGAATTACTGTCACTCTACATTTACCACAGATGCCCTGTAGTCGGGACAGGACGGTAACTGCGCTACCCTGCTGTCTCCTTGTCCTGGCTCTGATCCTGTCATGTTGTGACTTTCGGTGTCTGGGTCTGGCTCTGGGAATTCACTGAGGGCACAATCTAGGTCTGAGTCATCTCTGTGTCCTCACTGTCACCCAGCATAGGGTGTGGCTAAGAGCAGGGGCCTAGGAAAATGTTTGGTAATGAATGGAGGGATGGATGAATAACAAATGGCTTTATGGGTTAGGTTGGGACTTGCTTAAGCCTCTGGGATAAAAGAACCTAATTCCCATTAGTTCCCGTACCATAAGGCCCCCATTCCCATTGGTTAGTGAGTCACAGGAACCACTGTTTCCATCATTCTCTGATATACAGAGTTCACAAATCCCTTGGCACCTAAGACTCAGCTGATGCAATTCCCATCAATCGCTGGGACTCGGGACCCACTGTTGCCCTCAGCACCCCCACCCCGGACTTGGGACCCATCAACCCTGGAGGCACAAGGGCCCCGTTCTCATCAGACATTGGCACAGAAGTACCGTCATTCTTATTAATCCCTGATACCCAACATCCATAATTCCTATACCCCTAAAATACAGGGACCACCATTCCCATCAACTCCTGAGATCCAAGTTTTGCCATTCTTATTATCCCTTGGAACAGTCCGCCAGTGGAAAATAGAAACATCCCACCCATCATCACAAAGTCCATCCCCAAGTTCCCAGAACAGGAACTGTTAGCCAGGAAGATACCTGCCTTGAAGTAGGTCTGAGTCAAGGACTCA